GGCATATACTGAGTGATATTACATATTATTACCGAGGGGTGTAGACTTGTACTACCATTACATAACACTATATAAAGGAATTGGTGTGCACCTAAACTTGGACTACAATTTAAGAAGGATACATCATTCTGGATAATCACCATTCGTTCATCATTTCTTTCCTGGGCCTTGATAACTGCATAGATAAGGTGAGAATATTTCTTCTAAGGTATTGATAGTTGCTCACTCAATGCAATTAAAGTATATAGATTATTATTAATGCATGACATATTTCAGCATGAATATTTGTGTTTAACATCTATAATGTACAATAGTCTAGTATATGTGTTATAAATGATTTAAAGATGTACAGTGTATGTGCTCCATTGTTATGATTGTAATTTTGCAAATGACCTTGTATGTAGTGTAACGGCATGATCGAAACCAAAAAGGTACAAAAAGTTTGAAGTTGAAGACTATCAGGCCAAATAGGAATTATTCATGAATCAGTTCAACAAAAAGTATGATGATGCGCCCAGCACCAATCCTGCTTGCATCAGAAAGAAAGAAAAAAAAATTGTTATTGTCTTGGTTTGTAGAATAATCTCATTTTGCATATCATTCTTGACATGTTTGAACTGTTTATATAAAATTACTAACCAATAATTCAAATGTTTTTTCCATTGCAGCTTCACCTGTGGAATGGAAAAACTGTTGTCCAAGGAGACTGGGTGGCTGTGTTTTATTCAGGCAGCAGATTTCCCCCCATTGGACAAGTTTCGCACCTGGACAATGTAAATGGTATTGCCTCTGTCCGATTTCTGAAAGGGCGGAGGCTTTCCAAGACAGATGTTCAGGACGTGGAGAATCAGTTTATCATTTGCACCCTTCGTGTACAGTACGTGCATGAAAAGGATGAATTTTTCACACACCCTCTTATGAAGGACAAAGTAGAAATTGCTAAACAAATGAATAGTGAATTTCATATGTGACTCCCTTTCCTCAAACCCACATAAAGTGGCCAGATATATGTGCTATGAGCCAAAATGTGTGAATTATAGTAGGCTTGTTGCATTTTGAGGTACAATGATTACTAAGGACACATATTCCTTGGATCAACAAAAAAAAATTCATCCAAACTCTGTATCTATGCAAATTAGGTCTAACTTCCATAATTTATGCAAATTTATTCATTGTAATATGATATTCCATTACAATGGTGTCTTTATTGACTCATTTAAAAGAGAACATATTTTTTGGATCAAAAGATTTGTTTTGTTAAGCTCTGTTTATATGCAAATTAGGCCTAATTTGCATAATTTATTCAAATGTATCATAGGCATCGTTTAACAATGTTAAATCTGAGATGCACGGCCCTACGTGTTATCAGTGTCTGTGACATTGTGTAATATTGAAGCCCTAAAAAAAATCGCGCTTCAAAATGATCAAGAAGTGCCTCAAAAAAGTTTTTAAAAATCTGTGACCGGTTTTACCAAACTTGTTTTCCCCAATAGACTGTAGTGTGATTTTCCAATCATAAATATCTTAATAATCAGACAGGCGATCGGCTTGTAAAATTCATGGGGTTCCTGATTCACCTAAAGGTTTATAATTATCATTGCAGCATGAGCTAACTCCAGGATTTTGTTTCAGAATCTAAAACAAAGTTACCGGATCCCTTTAATGGAAATGGAATATCTATTACAATGGTGTTTTTACCAAGATATTGGAATTTACATATTCCTTGGATCAAAAGAAGAAAATTAAGCCAGAGACACTCTGTATGTATGCAAATAAGCAAATTAGGCTTTATTTTGTGAGATAATGAAAAACTGAATTTTAATGACAGACATCAAATGCATAATTTTGTATGAAAAATGGTTGAAACCACTGCTTTTTAGAGAGCACCCTCTTTTGTTTGAATGGCTTTTTTAAAAATAATGATGGGCCTTTTACTAAGTCACTTTTTCTTTACCTTTCGAGCATGGTGGTGTTGTACTTATTTGTTTGTAATGTTATTGTGCATGTTTTGGATACTAAAGCTCGGCCTTGCCAAAACTATACCACCCCTTTAATGTAATCAGTGTAAAGGCATATCTTTTCAATGCTACACATTGATGATTTAGGGAGTAGAGAGAAATTAATGAACAGATGGATTTGTGATGTAACCAGTTGATTTTTCAACAAAATTAATATGTCCAACAGATAGGGTGCCCTTTCCAATGAAAACGATACCAAGAATAGTCCTTTTGGTAGTGTAGTTTTGCATCTCTTAGAGTGATACCATGTCAGGTTCCCTTTTTTGTCAATTTTTACCAAGTCAATGCGCCTTAGCGTCGAACAATGAGCAATACGTATGCCATTATTAGTGTGCATTCAGCTGTGTGCCAATGATGGGCATAGTTGCTCGATGATATGATGACAGGAACTGCGATTTATAAGGAAGTGACTTGGTAAAAATGGCAAAAGTGGGAACCTGACATGGTCTTACTTAAGACGTCTTACAACAAAAACTACTCGTCCAAAATTACTGTTCTTGGTATCGTTTCTCATCTGAACGGACATTCTATCCGGTGGACACAATCATTTTGTTACTTTATTTTGGAAAGTTCCCCATTGCATTGTTGTTGTTGTTGTTGTTGTGTTTTTTTTTGTTTTGTTTTTTTTGGGGGGGGGCTCCCTGTTTATACATAAACCATTGTTATCAGAGCTAGTTTAAAAGTTGTTTCAATGTAATTTGTAATGAGTGTAACAATGACAATTTTGTTTTCCTTCTATTTTTTTCATATATAGATAATGTTTAAATATCTGCATTACTGAAATGATCTTTGAATTTTTCAAATATTTCTATAACTAGAATATTCATGTTCCTATGATAATATTTTGAAAAACATAAGTCTTCCATATGTATTCATTTAATTCAAATAGTAATACAGACCTTTCACTCTGTAATAACAAGCATTTTTCACTTTCTTAAACCCATGTTACATTAACCCATTTATGAGTGGTTCCCAAAATGTCCTGAACAGGGGAACATGGACTGCAGTTGATTACCAGCACTTGTAAGAGTAATAATAAAGTGAATATCATATATATATATATATTTTGAATAAAAACTACTTTGTTGTTTCAAAGATTTGATTATGATTGATATATATTGTTCTGTATGAGATAAGTGTCACATTCAACAAACCTTGGACAGATCAAGGTGTGGCAATTGCATACCTCTGAAAGAGTAAAGTGTGGCGATCGACGAACCTTGGTAACAATGTGGCGTGGAGATCGACGAACCTTTGAAAGAGTAAAGTGTGGCAATCGACGAACCTTAGTAAGAGTATGGTGTGGCGATCGACAAACATTGGAAAGAGTAAAGTGTGGCGATCGACGAACCTAAGAGTATGGTGTGGCGATCAACGAAAATTGGGAAGAGTAAAGTGTGGCAATCGATGAACGTTGGTAAGAATAAAGTGTGGCAATCGACAAACCTTGGACAGATCAAGGTGTGGCAATCGACAAACCTTGGACACATCAAGGTGGGGCAATCGACAAACCTTGGAAAGAGTAAAGTGTGGCAAACGACGAACGTTGGTAATAATAAAGTGTGGCGATCGACGAACCTTGGTAATAATAAAGTGTGGCGATCAACGAACCTTGATCAAAGAAAAGTGTGGCGATTGACGAACCTTGAAAAGAGTAAAGTGTGGCGACCGACGAGCCTTGAAAAGAGTAAAGTGCGGCGATCGACAAACCTTGGAAAGAGTGTGGCGATCGACTAGCCTTGGACAGATCAAGGTGTGGCGATCGACACACTTTGGAAAGAGTAAAGTGTGGCGATCAACGAGCCTTGGAAAGAGTAAAGTGTGGCGACCGACGAGCCTTAGAAAGAGTAAAGTGCGGCGATCGACAAACCTTGGAAAGAGTAAAGTGTGGCGATCGACGAACCTTGGTCAAAGTAAAGTGTGGCGATCGAAAAACCTTGGACAGATCAAGGTGTGGCAATCGACGAACCTTGGTCAAAGTAAAGTGTGGCGATCGACAAACCTTGGACAGATCAAGGTGTGGCAATCGACGAACCTTGGTCAAAGTAAAGTGTGGCGATCGACGAACGTTGGTAAGAATAAAGTGTGGCAATCGACAAACCTTGTACAGATCAAAGTGTGGCAATCGACGAACCTTTGATGGATACTTGCAAGAACATTGTTCTATAACGACAAAGGTAAGGACCATTATTTTCTGTAACCCAAGAAATTTGGTTCTATTTGAGTGGAAAAGTATTATTTTAGACCATCTGAAATTGCATGAAACGGTCCATTTTTTTAGACTTTTTTGGAAAGTCTACTTTTTTTTTGGAATGGGTTACATGTATACGGGGCCAAAGGGTGATTTTTCCCTTGGTACTATTGAAAACTCCCGAATCTCTCCAATTACATATATATTTTCATTGTGAGGAAATTAATGTGATACAATTTGGGAAAGAACTCCTCGGTGAAAATCAATATCTAAATCGTCAGCAGCAAAGTGATGGAAGCATTTTAATTTGTGGCTTGTCCACTCTTCTGTCAAAATATGGACAATAAGAATAGAGCTAAAAAGTGAAAATGGCAAAATTTTATTTGTGCACTGTATTTTGATGAGGATGGATGGAGTCAGAGAGACTTGGTCAGAACTTTTGTGAATTAAAGTTATTTGCCGTGATGAGTATGATACATTATAGTCATCCAATTATCACACTGAGAGAGAAAAGGGTAATTGATACCATTAAATAGTCTTCTCGGTCTTAGCAGACATTCTGAATTAAAATGTGTAAAATATAGGTTCATAGAATTAACTTCACAAGGAAACGGTTGCATTCTAAGAAATGTAATTAATGTAAAGAAAACAAACTACAGTATTGTATATGGTGTTCAATCTTGTAGTATTCAGGGTTTTGTAGATTAGCCTTGTGCTAAACAAGTTATCCGAAAATGTGTAGCTTTTGTGTACTAATATTTCTACTACTATTCCAATTTGGTTTCCACCAGCTATCGTAAGCTGCTCAAGTCCTTCACCCGTTTGCGTCACCTCCTGCTGAACAAGCCCAGAGTGACTGAAGCTGATAAGGAGAAGCTGGCTGAGAAAGAGGCCAAACTGCAGAGAATCCGCGTCCAGGGAAGCAGGGTGCGGGAGGTCACCGCGGAGGTCAGCAGTGAACACATGCTAGCCACTGGTGTAGGAGTTGATATATGTCAGGTGGGTATCGTGACATTTTACCTTGTTTACACACACATATTAAAGTGAATTTGCAAGGAAAATCAGTCAATGAGCAGCTATTAAAGAAGAGAAACCTTGGTCTTTATCTCATTTGAACAATCACAGCATCAACATCAGCACCAACCACAACGACAATATTATAGCACATGTCGCATTAATGTTTTTATGCCTCCAAAGTGCTTTTGCAATTATTACAGATTCATCCAAGCTGCCATGGCTTATGTCATAGCAGGTCAGATTAAAGGTAATACAAAGTTATGGGAATTTTGAGAATTGGGTGGATAGTATTTCTTTACAATTTTGATATATTTGGATGCCCCTGTGAATGTATTATAAGTACTGGAAAATTTAGCCCCTAAAACACTTCTGCTTTCGAGAAAAATTGAATATAAAAATTTACCGGTACTCCCGGTAAATTTTGATAAATTTCAAATAGCGCCTACGGTCGTACAATGGTAGCTGCGATCATGAAAATCTCAGAATATGTAGTTGTGATATATAATTTCCAAACTGAATTAGAAAATCTGTTGATTATTGTAAAAAAATATTGTTTTATAGCTTAATTAGGCTCGATTTCAACCGCGAAAACGATCACTGAATATTGTAGGATCACATATGCTTCCAATATGTTCATTTGAACCAAATTCATGACCCTCTTCCAAAACTTTGTTAGAATGTTGAAGCTAGTGTATTTTTTTAATTATTGTTTTCAATTTTTTGATTATTGTTTTAAATTGGTTTAATTCTGAAATGAAGCTAAGATTGTATGCTTAGTCTGATATATTTATTTTTTAAAATATATAATGTTTTATTCTTCTCTGCAGCATGCCCTGATGCTTCCAGTTCTTGTCAATCATCTACGCTACTTTGCCTGTCTCAACAGCCTCTATCAGGTCCTGGGCTATAAGTTCCAGGATCCCATGTTGCTAAGGGTAAGTCCAATGACGTTATGTGACATCACAGTACATCGTTCAATCTTGCAGTGTTTGTGTGTACGTGGGGTTTTAAAGAAGGCTATCATTAGATATGAATACGTATGGGGACCAACCTTTATCGTCACCATTTGAAGACGTGACTCAGTTTTGAACCATTTTTAGGCGAAGGCAGAGAGCAGACCATGCAAGTGAACCTACCATTATTCCAACTCGTATCTCTCTGAGTAATTGTTGTTCTTCTTTTTCAAATGCATCCCCACTTTGGCAGCACTATACATTGCAAATGTTTTTTCCTGAAATGATTCCAAAATTTAGCCTGCTGCTACTGTCCAAAATCCCATAACTCCCAGGCGGGTAACATACTAGTAATAAGCATAGCAAGCTGAGGAAATCTAAATACATAATGCCAGGGGCCCATCTTATAATGAGTTGATATTAATTGCAACTTATTTGTGATTAATATCAACTGCAACTATGGGCATAATAGGGGACTGCAAAGTTGTGATTGATTGGAGGACTTGCGGTTGATTTGGATAAATCACAACTCTTTATAAGACGGGGCCCTGATCTGTGCTGTTTTTGTGTGTATTTGAGTTTTCCTAATCTGATTGTATCTTATCTTGCTGGTCAACACAGCCCACATATTGCAGATAAACAATTTCAAAATACTTGTAATTTTTTGTGGTTACATTATCACTACGATTACCTTTCATTCAGGTGTCAGGCACCTACTGTATTAAAAATAATAATACAATATGGATATTTATATAGCGCCGGTATCAGCTAGGCTCTGACGCTCATGGCGCTTTACACATATTACCCTGGTTATAGATGAGGTGCCAAAGTAACTAGCGCTCAAGCATATCAGGTACCCATTTACACCTGGATGGAGAGTGGCAAATGTAGATTAACGTCTTGCCAAGTGACATTAGTGCCGCAGCGGGACTTGAACCCTGTACCTTGTGATCTGCAATAGGGTGACTTATCCACTAGACCACAACACCTCTACATTACATTATATTGATAACAGACTACAAATGTTGGAATTTGGAAATAAATGATTTGATTTGATTTGAAATGTTTTTTGATAAATCCTCCTTCTTCTTGATTTGTGCTATAGTTTGCAATGACACATCCGTCTTACAAGCTGTACTTTGGGACCACACCCGACCACGTGCGGAACTCTCTTTACAACTGTGGAATCCGCTGTAGACAGGATCATACAGAACACAAGAAGGTGCTTGCCAAGGAAAGAAAGAAAGGTAAATATACTGTACAAAGTAATCAAGAACTATTATAATAGTATTATTTGATATAAAGTATTATATCATTAATATGATAGTATTTGTTGTAATAATTGTGGAGCCCCAGGAGTGTGAAGTTATGAACACATGTGTGCTATACAAGAACCCACTATTATTATTATTATTTTAATTATCTGTAATTATTGATACTAGGAATTTCTACTCCTGTCTTTACAGGTTCGTAAGTGCAATAATTTGTTTTCTGAATGTCGTGCTCTCATCTGAATTGCCAAGTTATACAGTTTTACAATAGGCTTGCGGGTGCACCATGTGAGAGAGAGAGAGAGAGGATTGAGGAGTCCCGAAAAGGACTCTCGGTAATCTTTCTTGAGGGTGTGTAGTCCTGAAAAGGATTGTTTGTGTAGTCTTGGAAAAGACTGTTGGTTATCTTTCTTAGCTTATAGGAGAACTATAGTAAATATAGGAGAGCTAAGGAGAACTATAGCGCTTGGAGAGGATGAGTGGCGGGAGTGGCTCGACGTTTTGAACAGGTTGACTATCCGTCATCGCAAGCCTACTGTATATCTACATCACCATGCAAGCCGACACTTACAAGCAGCATCTTATAGAGTTTTATTGTACAAAATGTTTAAAATACGGCCAAATTTTAATTTTTTGTTTACACACACAAGTACATGAACTACATAGGGGGACAAGTTTAAATAATACTGTATTTTTTTCTCAGGAATTAATCAGCTGTATCGCATTATGTCCCTGATGGCTTCCAATGATGAACTACCATCCCACATCAAGAATTACGAGCGTCTTGAGTTCCTAGGGGATGCTGTGATTGAGTTCATATCCAGCACCCACCTCTATCACCTCTTCCCAGACCTTGAAGAAGGTGGTCTAGCCACCTACCGTATGGCTCTGGTCCAGAACCAACATCTCTCAGTCCTAGCAAAGGTAGGTTGATGATTGTGGTGGTGGTGGTGGTGGTGGTGATGACAGTGGTGGTTTTGATGATGATGGTGATGGTGGTAATGATGATGATAGTGGTGGTGCTGATGATGGTGATGGTGGTGGTGGTGATGGTGATGGTGATGATGATGATGATGATGATGATGATGATGATGATGATGATGATGATGATGATGATGATGATGATGATGATGATGATGATGATGATGATGATGATGATGATGGATGGTGATTATAGTGGTGGTGATGATGCTGATGGGGTTTGAACAATTATGGTTAATCTATAGCAAACTGCACAATGCCAAATTCAACACTAACGGACACCGAGGGGCAAATAAGTTTTGTATAACTTTATGCCTACTTCCAAGGTATGATATACTTATTTACTATTTTTCAGAAACTTGAGCTGGACAAGTACATGCTCTATGCACACGGGCCTGACCTCTGCCGACCTTACGACCTTCGACACGCCATGGCCAACTGCTTGGAGGCAGTCATGGGAGCAATATATCTGGAGGCGGGGCTGGATCTATGTCGGAAAATCTTTGGCAAACTGCTCTTTGAGGAAGAATATCTTCAAACTATCTGGCTTAATCATCCTAAGGACCCTCTGCAGGTTCGTACTTAAAGTGTTCTTTTTTTTTTTGAATGATGTGTGAAAGTCAAGATATTAAAGGGATTGGGTACAACTTTGTCTCAGATTCTGAAACAAAACCCTGGATTTAGCTCACGCTGCAATCATAGTTATAAACCTTTTGGTCAGTCAGGAACCCTGTGACTTTTACAAGCCGATCGCCTGTCTGATTATCAAGATATTTATGATTGGAAATCAAAATCAAATTTTCATTGTTTCAGTTTTTATACTCTTTTCCTCCTCTTTCCAGGCTGATTTTCCTGAAACAGACAGGCACTTGATCAAGAATTCAGAAGTGCTGCAGGTGAGAAAGTTTCCCCTCTATTTTTTTGTTTTATTCAAAATAGAAGACTGAAGCCTTGTTCACATATAAAATAGTAAACTTCAGCACATCCACGTCTTGTCTGTCATCATACAAATTGTCTTTCCTTTATTACTGAATATAATTAAAGACCAATCAAGCCCTTGAAATAAGTTTATTTGATTGAAAGCAGAAGTTTGAAATAAATCAGACCAATAATAAGGAAATTATGGGTGTTTGAAATATGAGTCTATGCGAAGCTCAGATTGGCAGTTTGGTCATTGGTTTGTGACGTGGTCGTGTATAACTCTCCCGTTTTTTGTGTACAAAAATATTAATTTCTGTTTCTCTCTTAAGTGCCTTCTCCCTCGGGGCAGTACTCAAAATATATTATAGATAGCATATTATAGGTCCTCTAAAGAGAATAGACCCTCCTGAGTCATACATTTTTGAAAATTGAATTTCAATCATTTTGAGTTTTGGAACAAATGGGAAAGTTGTCCACCATTATATCACAGAAACATCACCAATACAGCCAATGTAAAGAGCCCATACCTGTAGTGATCACAACTTTCAACAATTCTTAACTTTCTATTTTTTGTCCGATTTCATTCAAAATTTCAACAATCTCTGATTTTTCTGCTTTCCTCTAGAGTAGTTTGCAATCAAGGTTGGATTTCCCTTTCATAAGCTGTATTTATTTCTCAATTTATTCAAAATTTTCAGAAACTGACAGTATTTGAAGGGGACACAGGGATGCGCTTCACGCACATTCGACTTCTCGCCAGAGCGTTCACCCAGAGGACTGTGGGATATACCAATTTGACCATGTTAGTATACTTTCATGTACACCGTTTTTTTTAGTGGTTCTTTCAAGACCTTGAGGTTGGAGACCAAGACTTTGAGGTCCGAGACCGAGATCTTGAGCCTCAAGACTGAGATCGAGACTGAGACCCTTTCAAAATGTGTCTCAAAACCTACAACACTGGTATCTACTACATTCATTGACTGTTTTTAAGGAATTTGATCTATTTTCATTTACATACATTATGTAGGGAGATAATGTTCATTAACTATTTTTATTTATAGATGAAAATACATCTCTGAATATCCACTCTTGTAACATTTGTGATAACTTCACATATTTTTTAATTTCATATTTAATGAAACAATTCAACTGCTTCCAATTACCATGTTTAAAAGTTAGATAGTAAATTCAAATCTGGAATATTCGATATGTACTCTCTCTCTCTCTCTCTCTCTCTCTCTCTGTCTGTCTCTCTCTCTTTCAGGGGTTCCAACCAGAGACTTGAGTTCCTTGGAGATTCCGTGCTACAGCTTGTTGTCTCCTCATACCTCTACAAGCATTTCCCCAATCATCATGAAGGACACTTATCGGTAATTTATGGATCTCCTTTTCTCCTTCTATTGACCAGAAAATTATCTGGATTTATTCAGTGCTCGAATGAGTGACTCTACATGCATGGCTTGTATGGACAACTCATTATTTGATTGTTTCAAAAGTTTTTCATATCAATGTTATGTTTTTGCCTGTTTCAAGGAGGCCATGTTATTTGTTAGTGCCCTCTCTTTGCCAGGGTGGGATGGACCCCCCCCCCCCCAGCACCTTTGATTAGGCAACTAGATACTTGATATTACAAAAATGTTTTGTAAAAGTTATTTTAAAAGGCATAAAATGTTAATTCAAATCATTCATGATTTCTATTATCAAGGAGATTTCATGACCTTGATGTGGAATTTATAAAAAATCATGAATATTTGAATTTTTACCATTGAATGTATTTTATTTTAAAGCTACACATGGCTCTCAATAACTTTTAAGTCCAACTTAGAGTTAAGTTCGACTTAGGATCTTCATGAAACATCCCCTGGATTGGATTGGATGTATAGTCACTATCAAATCTAATATCAGATCTTTCAACTTTCCTATGTACATGAAGCCTTGGCTAATTAAAAAAAAGTATTTAGAACTTCTTTCTTATTTATTAATCTCATATCTGATGATTATCTAATGCAAAAGTACATAGCAAAATTTTGTAATAAAATACTGGTCTTATTTTCCATCCTCTCACTTAGCTCTTGAGGAGTTCTCTGGTCAACAACAAGACCCAGTCCATCATAGCCCAGGACCTGGGACTCGTTGAGTACATCATAGAGCCCAAGACCAGGTCCAGGAATGAGAACAACATTCCTATGAAGATCATGGCTGATCTTGTAGAAGGTGAGAAATAAGTAGAGATTGAAGTTTAAAGACTGTCAGTACCAGTTTGGCTAGGAGGGATTAGACCACACAGCGAGGTCACTGACAGGTGGCTATCCCATCAACTCAGCTCTCAAATAACATAAGAAATAGAGGATCATGGGGGACCAACAGGCACTGATTGGGGAAGTTTTTATATACAGGGAGCAAGTAGCTACAAGTAGGACAGTGGGGCTTTAAGAACAAAAATGCATGTTTTTTTATCAACATGTTGGATGCAGGGATTTGATTATGAAATAATAATTATAATACTAATAAATGTAACTTACATAGCGAAAAAATCCACTCTATGGAGTGCTCAAGGCGATATATTGAAATATATATAAACAGATATTTTAAATTTAATTAGACATTGTCAAACATGACTCTGAGATTGCGACAAGTGTGTGTCAAATTAACCGTGTGGCAAGAAATGAAAGCGTTTGAGAATATCATGTGTTTATTCTGTCCTCTTTCTCTATTCATCACAGCCCTGATTGGTGCTATGTATGTGGACCATGGACTAGAAGTTGTTTCTACATTTTGCAGTGTTGTCTTCTATCCCAGACTGAAGGTAATTATCTATACATATCCTGTCCTTCTTTCTCTTTATCAGTGTGTTTCTTATTACTGCCTTTTTTGTTCCTTTCAGTCTCCTCTCTTTCTCCCACCCCCTCTCTTTCTCCCACCCCTTCTCCTCCATGGCAGAAGGGTCTGTTTTTAATTCCCAGTGTGTATTTCTCAACTCTCTCACCTCTATAATGCTACTTTTTCTTGATATCTAAAGCATAACACTATTATTTATGCTGTAAATTAAAAGTGTGACGTTTGTTTGTTTATTTATTGAAACTCTTGTTGTGGTGGAAAATCATAGGCAACATCCTTGTATTTTAAGTAGCAATTATCAAAGATTGTAGTGAAAGAAAGGAAGCATGGTGGAGTAATTTTAAATCTGTTTATCTTTATCCTTTTCAGGACTTCATCCAGACACAGCACTGGAACGATGCTAAGTCCCAGCTCCAGCAGTGCTGCCTGACTCTACGGGTGGAAGGTCAAGAACCGGACGTTCCAAACTATAAGGTCATCGGCCAGAGCGGGCCAACAAATTCTCGCCAGTACTCTGTGGCTGTATACTTCAAATCCAAGCGAATGTCGACAGGGACGGCCTCAAATATCCGGGATGCTGAGATGGAGGCAGCGAAGAACGCCTTGAGGAAGGGGAACTTCCCGCATCTCTGGTTCCAGCGGAAGTGTGTGATGTTGCGGAAGCAGAGGGAGGCCATGAGAGAGGAGGAGAAGATGAAGGAAGATGAGGAAAGAAGGGGCAAGGGAGAGGAGAAAGAAGGAGAGAATGGAGTGAAGAGAGGGGGTAGTGATTCGAGGGGCAGGAGGGACGATGGAAGGATGGATTCCTCAAGAGGTGAAGGAAGGAGAGATGAAAGGAGGAGGGATGAAGGAAGAAGAGATGATGGAAGGAGAGATGATGGAAGAAGAGATGATGGAAGAAGAGATGACAGGAGAAGGGAAGATAGGAGAGATGAAAGAAGGAAAGAGGAGGGAAGGAGAGATGACAAAAGAAGAGAAGAAAGAAGTAGAGATGAAGGTAGGATGGGGGAAAGAAGAGATGAAAGAAGAAATGAAAGAAGAGATGATGAAAGGAGAGATGAAAAAAGTAGAGATGAAAGAAAGAGAGATGAAAGGAGAAGAGATGACAGAAAAGATGGGGAAGATAGACTCAGGCGCGAGAGAGACCGCACTCTCTCTTCAAGAGATGTCAAAAACAGAGATGAAGAGAGGAGTAGAAATGATCAGGAAAAGAAAGAAGATGTAAGGAAGGAGGGAGGACTTCCAAATGAACCAACAGGCAGAAGGAGAGATGAGATTAGTCAAGAGAGAAGAAAAGAGGGAGACAAGTCTAAAAGAGAAGAGGGTAACAATCCAAGAAGAGAAAGTCAAACGAATACAACCTTGAATGAAGGAGTAAGAAATGAAGAAAGAAAAGATTGTAGATGATGAAAGAGGGTAAAAGGTACCATAAGTCCAGTACTCGGAATGAAAAGTGCAGAGGTTTCAAAAGGTGTGAAATGATTGTGTCTTAAATACGAAGAAACAGGACTATTTTCAAATGTTGTTTGTCTAGGATGTGCAAAAAAATCATGGACATTAAAACTTATTTGTAATTCAAAGACGGGAGAGAAGGATTTACTTATTTTTGTACATTCATTTGAAAGTGATGCAGCTCTAAATTTACTGAATTTTTTGTTATGTTCAGGGAATAAGTTCAAAATATTGCCCTCCTGGGCCCGTTGCATAAAACGTACCATTGATGGTAAATTTGCCATCAATGGCAACTACCATGATGACAGGGCTCAACAGCCAATCAAAATCAAGGTTTCCATGGTAACTTACCATTGATGGCAAAGTTACCATCAATGTTAAGTTTTGTTCTATGGGGCCCTAAGGTAAGACTGGACTACCTTCCATTAATTTTGCCTTTCATCAACCAACTGAAAAAGTTTAATCACCATTCAACTTGGTCATCTTGAATATTTATGACTGCTTGATGATTTCTGATTTCTTGTGAATGTATTTGTTGCATAACTTTTTTAATAATGCAAATGCAAATGTGATAATAATATTATTTGGGGAGAACATGTAATATAGAAAACTCAAATATTTGCAACAATATATGCCAGTTTATATATATGCTTTGAATTGCAGCTCAAACATGCCTTGCATTTTATGTACCTGTATCTTTTGTGCCTGTCAGTAATATGTAAATTGCAGTCTTCGCAATTGACATGTGCAATAATCATTTTCTCCACTTTTTTTTCTGAACTGGTGCAAAATCCTATAAGTACTACAAGTATGCAAGATTTGGACCTCCTTAAATAACAAAGCTCAGCTGTGGTATAGCTGTGAATACAGACCGGCTAGATTTCATATCACAAAGCTAGAATAATGAAAATCTGTGAAGTGTTACAAAAATATACATGAACAGTATTAATTTTGAACTTTCAAAACTACCATATTTACATGTAGTTAAGATTATTTTGTAATGTCTCTACGTTTGTCAAGTAAACAAGTCATGTATGAGACTTTGATGCATGAGAGTTGGACTTTAGTCTTTTTTGCAAGATAAATAAACAAAACCAGCCAGGTTATGCAAGTTGCTTTTGTTTGTTTTTATTTGTTTTTATTATACATACATGTTTAAAACAAACAGAATACAAAAGAGATATATACTGAAGCGTGAATACTGATCAATAATCATTTCTCTCATGTGATCAGTGATGCAAGAGCATATGACAGAGAGAGAGAGAGGGGGGGGAGAGAGAGAGGGGGGAAAGGGAGAGAGGGGGAAAGGGGGAGAGAGAGAGAAGGGGGAGAGAGAGAGAGAGAGAAGGGAGGGAGAGAGAGAAGGGGGGGGGGGGGAGAGAGAGAGAGAGAGAGGAGTGATATTTGCATATAGTATCATAAAGTTTTGATAACGAGATTTCTAGGAAGCTACATTATGCATTTTTGATAAAAAACATTATTTTCAGCTTATATTTCAAAAGACATCAACTTTCCATTAACCAGATTTTGAGAAATTACTGAAATACATGTACACAGAAATTGAATAAAAAATTCTTAAATTATCACCCTTTGGCAAACATGGTAAATATATAGAGAAAATATATATCATTTATAACGCCCAAAGCAATAGAACCAGAAGGGGAAAAAAGCTGATCAGTATTGGAATATAGAATACCATCTATGCACTCTCATGAGGTAAAATGTTTTTTAGTGCAAGCTATAAATACATGTATCTACTATCTATAGTATATGATAATTTGTAGTGTATCTAATAAACATTTTTTTCTTGTATTTATTGTGATCACCTACACAATAATCATAGTATTTCAAGCATTAATAGTACTGTAAAATCTAATCATCATTGTGCATTTGGCATATATACATGTATTTTCACATATTTTGCAGATATAATTCTTTCACCATCCAACGGTCTTCAAAATTTGGGTTTTACTTGGCAGTTGGCAACACTGACCATCTGGTACGGTCATCTGGTACCCTATACCAGTGATACATCCTACTTTGAGGCAGAGTGGTAAGGAAAACTCCTCATAAAATTAATACTGTATCATGTTTGAGTAACTCTCTGCAAGTGACGACCAAACGACTAATTTGGCAAATACAATAAATGTCCAGGTTGCCAGGTTGGCCAGCTGGCAACCTACATGTACATGTACATGTAAATAAAACAGACTTTTTGAAAGAATACACTACAGTTATTCTGAATGTTCAAAAACTGACAATGCCCAATACATAACAGCATTACAGGTAGAAGTTATACTATTGTGTTGAATACATTCCTCCACAATGAAAGCTTTGGCAATTAACTTTTTGAAATGTGTATTTCTAAACCAAAGAAATATACAACCGTATAACAATGATGACCTCCCCAAGCCGTTCCTGTCATTCGTAAGGCCCAACCTATGATATCTTTACCCTTTATTAAAGGTTCTTCCAGGCAAGATTTATACTTAACTTCAGTTAACTTGGTTAAGGTCATAGATTTGTGAGAGTAAGTTCACCTTTGTGCTTTTATAAAGGTCAAAGACAACTTGAAATGGCTTGAATTAGGGTCCAATCTACAAGATATTTGTCATAACATCTTGCAATGTGAATTTCCAGTTCTTTTTTTTGGTCACATCCTTTAAGCAGTTCAAGTTCACTCCTGCGCATAACAATGATTTTAGGGTCAGTCTCAGATTTTCAAGACACCCTGCTCTTCTTTGGAGATGGCTCCTCCTCCTTCGCCCTCACTCTATCCCCCGGTCTTTTCTTTGTCTCTTCTTCCTCTTCTTTCTTTTCTTTCTTGACAAACCATTTCATCAATGGTCCAGCCGTTTGCTTCTTCTTTGGCTCTTCCTTCTTCACGCTTCCTCCCTCTGTCTTGACAGCCTTGCTCTTCCCATCTGGTGTCTTGCTCCCTTTGGCCAGCCATGATGACATGAATTGGCTGCTCTTGCTCTCGGCCTTTGGCTTTTCAGGTTTCCTGCAGGAAAGAAAAGTCCCAAAAATGTTATTGCTACTCTGTAAAAGCCTTTTCAGTAAATCTTGCTGGGTTCCTTCAACCATCCCTTATTCTACAGAGTAAATAAATCACCCCTTTCACTAATTTTGGTGTTAAAACCACTTATGTCTTAATAATACATACAATATTATAAAAACAAGCTTGTCATTCAATTAAAAAAAATAAGACAAGCGTTTGAAATCTTGTGTTGTGAAATTGCATTTTGGATAAATGCATGTAAACTTGATGGAACCCTTTGGCTTAAAGAATGATATCAGTTCAGTTCAGTTCAGTTCAGTTCAGTTCAGTTCAGTTCATTTATTCAATTCATTTCTAAAATGTACAGACAGTTGTACGTGACAAAAAACATACATATTTACAAGTCATGAAATAAAAAGCAATAAATATTATAAGTAGGCCTATTACATTGTAAGAAAATGAATTATGAGAACTTTAAAATAAAGCCAGATTGGCCTTGTGAAAAAAAAAGTCCTCATTTGCTAGAGAGTGATTTGGAGGCTTCATAATAATAGTTTCAAATTTGTACAACAAAGGGAAAAGAAACAAGCAATGGATATGAATATATACATGCATAGAATATGAAATACAAAATACCTACATGTAGATGCCAACAGATATAAAGTGCATCCAAGTAATTACCCGATCCCCCCCCCCCCCCAAAAAAAAAACAAAAACAACAACAACAACCTAAAAACCTAAATTACTTCCTTTTTCAAGTGGATGTTTTCAAATATCAAAATATCAAAAAAATTATGGACCTGTTACGCTATATCTCCCAATTCCTTTGAATAATAACCTTGGGAGCCATTTGCCCCTTTAAATAGGTAAGGTATATACATGTACAAGCCCTGTGGAGCTAAGAATTCAGTGAACTTACCCCAGCTCAATGGGCTTGATGCAGTCTGGTTCCTTGTAACGAACGTTACCCACAGCTTTTGTGACAGGATGCCAGGCCAGACAGCTTCTAGCACTGACCAGGGACACTGCCTGCATGGTCGGTTGGAGTAGGATGAGAAAAGGGAGAGGGCACATGAATGAAATAGCACTTGCTATATCAGAGTTATATACAAATATCTCCAAACACCTCATATATGACATAAAATAGGATTTTGACTTGCAATCAACAAGCATCGTGTAATCAGTAATCGTATGCTGTGATGCCAATCTCTACTTTAGGCTTGTGATTTGATCACTACAGTCTACATTGTGTTACTAATTTTTAACGGTCATCATCATCACCATCATCATTTTCATTTTCATCATTATCACCATCATTATCATCATCACCATCGTTTTCATCATTATCACCATCATTATCACCATCATCATCATCATCACCACCACTACATGCACCACCAGGATATTACCACCACCAACACCACCACCACCACCACCAAAACCACCACCAAGATATTACCACCATCCTCATTATTACCTTTTTATTAGACTCGACTGTGCCATAGTCGAGCCATGATTTTATCTCTTCATCCCCTTCCAAGACGGCTGGCATTCTATGATGAAGCCAAGACAAGCTATCGTTGGATTCCACAGTGATCACTGTGTATGTGTACAGAGGATCACCACCCTGAAACACAACAATTATACAGTCAAATCAGTTTTTAATCATAACACAGGAAATTAGATAAACCCTTATAACAGAGTTTGCAAATCATACCAGTCAGTCATAACAACAAAGATAAACAAAATTAGTTGGTGGAAATTCAACCGAGACAATCAAGCTCTATACATCAACGCACATTACTTTTTTTGTTGCCCAAAATATATGTTGTGCCAAAATAATAGATTATCATTGAAGGTAAAAGTATCTTGTTTAAGGTCCTGAGGCTAAATCAATCCAAAGTGATATAAATTGGAAACAATGAGAAATTTACAGTCTTTTTGGCCTCTCAGTATTTCTAAAATGACTTAAAAAACAAAGAAATTAAGAGATTGTTATTCAAGCAATTTAGGAGAATTCAAAGGTCATGCATGCAAACATTCTCATTTTTACTTGAAGAACTATTGAGCAGCACATTCAAATCACTGAACAATATCTCTGAACAATCATATTATTGGAACTCATCTCATTTCTCAAATGTTCAATAATACTTACATCCGGTGATTGCCAGCAATCAAACAAGCCGGCCATGGTCAGCAGTTTGTGACCTGTCCACCCTGGGTCACTATCGCTGACCTCCGTGGGTTCCTCCACGATCTCTAGGTCAGTGTTCTCTTCCATCATGTCTTCACTGGAATGGATGGTGAGATCTACTGGAGGATGCTCCTGGGCTAAGTAGATGAAGTAGGGCTGCTTCTGTTTGTTAGCATCGGTCTTCCACTCGTAAAACCTGCATTACAGTGACGATAATGAGAACATTTTACTTGTGACAGGTCATGGCAAATCAATATCATACAGATATTGTAATCCAGTGTGAGCCTTCTAAAAGGAAAACAAACTTTGTACTTTGTGTGAAAGCAGAAAAATAAGAAAAATAGAATGGCGAAAGTTTGAAATATGTATGAGACAAATGATAAGAAAATTATGAATGTTTGATATACGAGATCGACTGAATCTAAGCGAGTCTCAAACTCGTAATTTGGTCAGTGGAATGTGATGTAATTATGGTCATATTTCCTGTTTGTCATTTGTGATTGCTAGAGTAAACTAACTCTTGAAGAGGGTAGCTCATCAGACAACAATTTTAAATCAAGAAAATACAAACTTCTAAAAAAAGAAAGAGGTGCTATTACATAGAGGGCATGGTCAGAGTGATCCAAGCTTCCTAAAACACATACATTTTCTGAAGTAATAAAAACTGAATCTGTTATAAATTTTTGAAACAATTAGTCACAGGATAGTGAGGATACCAAAGACAGAAAGAAAGTTATAACCCACCCATCCACGAGTACAACACAGCGCTGGCCTTTCTCGAACGGGCGCTTGAAGCTCGCCCTTTCCAGCATGCCTTCACCCCTGCAGTTGTTCATCTTGTAAGCCACCTCCTTGGCCTGGCCTTTGTGCCATGATGGAACAAGGCCCCATGTCATGGGCACTATCTCACGATCTCCTGTTTCCAGTGACACGTCCAAGCTGTCCGTGCCTCCAAAGTGCTTGCTCGATATCAGAACAGGACTGGAAAATTTAACAGAAATAAAAAAAAGAATGACAAGTTCGAATGAAACAATTTGGGTACTGTTAGTTGTATCTGGCTGATATAGGTTCAAAGTTTCAAGATCCTTTATCTTTGTAAAATTTTGGTTGCGCACTCCTCGCTTGCAGAGGTTACAAGCCTGCTAAGATTCCAAGATTCATGATATTTACAAACTTTAGTTATGCCATTACTTGTAATTCAGGTTGTGGATACCATTAGAAACAGATTAAATGTATAAAATATAAAAATAAATACTTCCCATACAGGAATTGTTTGTTTGATTTTGTTTTGATGTCTTATACATATGAAGTAGACTACCACAGGCGGATCTATGAAAAAAAGTGTTTTAAAAATATATGGTCAACAAAAGTTTTTTTTTAGCAGCGGGCAGGTTCCTAGGCCTTGTGAAGTGGACTTGTAGAATTAACGAGACAAAACGAGCCTAAATTACACTGAAAAAACCCTTACGTTGTTCGAGTTGGTGAAATGTTGAATGATGGGTAGTACTTCCGCTGTACGCTCTCGCCTACTGGACTGGGATTTGAACTGAGGGCTTGTGTTTGCGGTGCCTGTTTGGGTGTGGATCCATGCTTTCGTCCACCACCACCTCCACCTCCTCCTCCTCCACCTCTCCTCGGTCCTCTACTGCGCCTCCCAGGCCGCATTCGCCGCCCCTGACGATTGGTGTAAGTGCATGCCCGTCTTATTTCATTATGATTCAGTGTACTAAAGAGCAAAGAGATAGAGAAGAAAATGAAGAAAATTTAATGGAGAGAAATTTGTTTAAAACTTTAAATTCACAACATATCATCTGTATATAGATCTAGTCGAGTTCAACAAGTTCTACATAATATGAAGTCAGACAAATAGATCCATGATTTTGGATTATCAATACACTACAAATATGTATGCAAATTGCAATTACAAAATAAGAATCAAAACAGGTTTTATATGAATCATTGATATTCACGAGTATAAACTGTCTCGATCTACAATTACAAAAAGAGAATCAAATCCACAATTTGGGATTATCAATCAATATCATCATTGTACAAGACGAGTCAAAAGCAGAATCAAAGGTTACAATGAAATAGTAGAATCAGTTGTTTTTAGTAGATCTAGCTGAACAGACGTAGACCCGGCCAGACAGATATTCACACCGCTCCAGCAAAGCATAGATCTAGAGTCAATGCTAATGCGTATTGACATCTAGTATGTATGTATGAAAGACAGATGCTCACTTGATAAGACTTACGCCCGAAGAGAGATGGAAATGATATTAACCTGATGATCGATGAACAGGCATTGCCCTACAAGCATCGATTGATTAAAGTATAGTAAGTAAGTAATACACAAATACACACACCTCACACTATTGCATAGACTGCACACAATACCAATGAGGCTGATCGGCAAATTTAACACAATTTGAAAATTATTCTTTAACATCAGCAAGTTGAACAAATTGTATTTTACTGCTATTTAGGTATCATCAATTGTCACTAAAGTAACGATTTTGAGTGAAATAATGTGAGTTTTGTACAGTATTGTTTGAAATATTGAGAATCAAAAGCACAACCTTTTTTTAATACACAGCCAGTGTACGTAAGTAACACGCAACGTACGTCAACACTGATCTAATCTAAAAGATGTCTGTCTTTCACTGCATTTTCTGTAGTGTCACAGCTTACCTGACTGTTCTTCCACACATCGTGATAGGGAGTTTTTGTGCAGAGTTAGCTGACCAACGATCTTAGAGCAGAATCTTCGATAGAATGTATCTCCTCCAAAGCTCCCGAGCCCGGTGGTGATATACCAATCTTGCTCAACAACTGCGCCGCCCGAGCTGGGTGTTCATCTGTTCAGCTTTCGTACAAGACGAGTCATGGCCTGGAGCGAGCGACAAGACCGGGCTTGCATGCATGCTTGTGTTTATTTGGTAAATGACGTCATTCACAGTACATGTATGACGTGAGCATTGACTTATGAAAAGCCAAATCTTGCACATATCCCTGTTAGAGCAATCAAAACTTGGGCCACGATCAAAATAAGAAGTTCACAACTAAAATTAGTTGAATATATAAATTTAAAAAGGCATGTATAGGGAGGGGAGGCACTCTATCTTAGAAACTTCGGTGGCAATATAAGCACCGTTTTTATTATTATTATTATCTGCAATCGATGGGGCAGATAAAAGCCCCCCCCCCCCCCCCCCCCCCTCCGTGGGATGTTCTGGTAGACGTTTCGGTCTGTAGTGTTAGGGCTGTAATTCAAATATAACTATTGGTGTAATATTATTATGATATGGATCTTGCAAACTCTTGTATCAAATACCTATTTTATATATTTTTAAAAATGAAATAAAAAAAGGAGGTATATTATCAAATGTTTTTCTATGAGTATATCATTTTTGTTTGTCTTTGAACAAATGCTCCATTTAAAAACTTATATCTTGTTTCACTGTGGGGTTGTACGAACCAGAAGAATTGGTATCTGAAAATTACCATGTCTATTCTGAAAGTGGAAAAAACATAGTTTTAGGAAGAGGTTGGGGGGGGGGAGGTGGTGCATATTGGTATTACAGTGTATAATCTATTCCGATATATAGCTATTTCTCTTTGATGAAAGGGATTAAGTTTCTGAATCAAAGATGATTTGTGTGTACCCTATTCTCTTTCTCTCCTTCCCTTCGCCTCATCATCTCCCTCTCTCTCTCTCTCTCTCTCTCTCTCTCTCTCTCTCTCTCTTTCTCTCTCTAGCTCTCTCTCACACTCATAGGTGACCCTGTCCCTGGCTCTATGCACATTCCATTGACTACATGAATTGTACATTTACTGGTTATTTCTTAATTTCTGACAGACACAATCATTTTTTTTTGCCTAATTGCTTTTGTTATGCATTAAAAAAAATCAAATCAAATTTGCAAGACAAAGGCTAATTTACTTTACTGAAAAAAACGAAAGGTATAACCCTAACCCTGTATTTCTGATGAAATAAAACCTAGAGCATTTCAGGAAACATCAGTACATCACCCATTCTCCACAACAACAAAAAAGAGAAACTCAATTGATTCTGTATATTACATATATTTATACAAACAAATATTTCATTTAATAACAGAATCACAAATAAGTATTTCAGTCTTGGTCTAGACAGTGATTATGGGCAAGACTTACTAATATCCAAAAAATTTCATATATCCAATTTGAAAGAACGATAAACATATTACTAGGTGTAATCAAAAATATTATTTCGGAGGAAGCTCATTTGTACAAACATGGACCATCGAGTGTAAATAAATGCTGAAGTCCTAAAATTACAGATTGGAGCAACAAACATACATTTAATAAATCAACGAAATACAAATCTACACTTTCGGATAAATCTTTCAAGTACAATAAACATGTACTATATATACAAGTACTTTATTAAGACAGGATTATACAATATGTATATCAACATCTACATGTATAATATAATAATGTGATTAACAATGGCAGGAAATAGAAGGTCATACACTTTTATTTTGAGCAAAAATGAAGAAAAAGCATGTTCCAACACAGTTATTAGTTTGTTAAATTGAAGCAGTGCGGAAGACAGGTAATGAAGGTAAGCTCCAAGAATGTCTACAGTGAAAGAATATGTTTGTCAAAGTCATGGTTAAATAGTGAAAATCTGTTGCTTTGGGGTATAATGATATGGATGATACATGATGTATTATGTTACATTATATTATTTACTTTTGCATTATGTGTCATGTTATTACAAGAAGAAAAAAAAAAGTTTTTCTGCTGTATATAATTTTTCTTGTGTTTTGCTATATACACTGCATTTTAAAAATGCTTAAAATGATATCTATATGCTTACAAACAGAATATTGATTTGTTACATTGCATTGTAAATTGATGTGTATGTTCATAAACAGATTATTGATGTACATCAATGAAGTTTAATAAATACAAAAATACATGATACATGTAGCTGGTGAGATCAAATACTATATCAACAACATTCATGCTAGCACTATCATTGATATTTCATTACACTTGGTGCATCTAATAAGTGTAAACTGTACAGGTAGTTAACCATTAGTTTTCATCAATTAGCTGGTACAAGATAGGAGATAACAAATTAGAATGATGAGATGGAGAAGAGGCCCAGTCGACGTCAAGCCATGGGATATTTGTCTAACTGGCCTAACACTGACACAATTCAGAGCTCATTGAGCTACAAGCATTTATGCAGTCAGGTAAAATAACCACCACAACCACCTTAATTATCTTGAAAAATTCTACCTTACTTCATAAAGTGCACAGAGACTTTTTGAGTATAATGCGCTATATAAGAATCTACTTATTATTAGTCAGGTGTGTCAGCAGAGATGTATTAATTCTGATTGCTATAATAGAAAGCTACAGGGTTTTGGAAGATCTAGTATCGAATATATTGTTACTGATGTACATCATCTAAGCACTTGTTTACATTGCCACGATAAACAGCATAGATTTATCTCAGCATTTATTAGTATACTAAATGAATTTCAAGCGGGGATAAGAAAAAGCAGCTGCTTGCAACAAAGTTCCTCTACATACTAATGCATCATTGTGTTATAACAATAAAAAATGTGAAGCAAAGTACGCTTCAAACTCTCATGGTAAGACCCGGCATTTTTTTAACCCATTGCCAACGGGAAGCGGGTGACTCCTGTATTAAGTCTATGGAAATGAGAGAATTTAGGAGTCAACAGGTTAACGGGGCTCAAGGGTGGTTTTGGGCTGTTACAGGGTCTTGGCCGCCTCATATTGGACTAGATCCGCCGACATGTCCCAGAGTTTCTTGCCAACCTCAGGATCTCTGGATTCTGTGGAGCTGTCGGTTATCTTGAAATCTGTAGAGTGCTTCCCAGTCAAACCTAATATAAGGAAGTGTGACATAGAGAGAGAAATAGATATGAAAAATGGAGTGCAAAATACAGATAGAGTACAATAGAAAAACAGGAAGAGATAGAAATAGAAGTAAGAGTGACAGATATAGATACAGAAATAGAAATAAAAATAGAAATAGAATGAGATATAGTGAGAGATGAATATGGAAAAAAAATGTGAGAGACAAAAATAGAAATTAACCGAGTGATGAAAATAGCAAGATAGAGATAGAAGTAGCATGATAGAGAGAGAGAGAGAGAGAGAGAGAGAGAGAGAGAGATGGACAAAAGGAGAGATGCACATATGGATATAACTTTGAATGATCATCTACACTAAAATCTACATTACCCCTAATTTAGTTAAGATTTGTTACAGTGATACCTGCGAGAGAAATCAAAACTCCTAAGTCCTAACTGCAAACTTTTTTCTATTTTACTCCAACAACATCTTCCTTGTCTTACTCCTACTGAAAACATTGAATACTAAGATTGTACTGACATAGTGTGTAATATTCTCTCCTAGCATTCCTTTGATTCAAATTTTATGCCTCAATATCAACGTACTAATGCTGGTATAAATGACCTCTAACCTTTGACACCTGACTTACCTTTCCAGTCAGGACTGGTCACAACATAATGAACCATTCCACCACCATGCTCCACTGTGCGTGTGATGCCTATCAACTTCAGAAGGGGGGTGATTACGGCCATACGTATCTTCGCCCATTGCGTCTCGTTGCGCCCAAGGCCAGTGGCAGGGATGAAGCCTGAAGAAGATAAAAGACAAATCAGGGCCCTGTAACATGAAAATCTACTTCCATTCAATCATATAAATTTATTGCATCTACAACGGATAGTCAACCTGTTCGAAACGTCGAGCCACTCCCGCCACTCATCCTCTCCAAGTGCTATAGTTCTCCTTAGAACTATAGGCTACACTGTAAGAAAGATAACCAACAGTCTTTTTCAAGACTACACAAACAGTCCTTTTCAGGTATACACACCCTCAAGAAAGATTACTGAGAGTCCTTTTCAGGACGCCTCAATCCTCTCTCTCTCTCTCTCACATGGTGCACCCGCAAGCCTACTGTATATTTCCAATATTGATGCAATTTATTGTATCGTACCATGACGTCATTATACATGTTTGCAGCTGTAACATCAAATTAATTGTAAGTTACCATTTATTGTAATGTTACGGTTGATTAAAGGAGATACAATTAAATTTGGGGAGATAACAACTAATTGTAACTTTTGCTGTTACAGAGCCCAGATTCCAGTGATCCAATTTTTTCTTTTGTGACATTTGCTACGAGCTCTATTTCATCAAAAATATATGGTAAGGGATGCAATTGGGTGTTATGTTTGACTTTGGGTTGGGGGTGGACTGTTGTATTAGATCCAGGATGAAGTTAGGAAGTTGAATAGTGTATGAAATTGAAGTGGGGCAATTGTTACAGGATGATATGCGCTGGAACCCAGATTTTGTTTGTATCAGAGGAAAATACAATAATTTATCGAGCGAAGAGGGCGAGTGGCTGGCTGCCCACCGTTCCCGGACCAGTAGGAAGTTGTTATTTGCTTTGCAAGTTTTAATGTAATCAAGGAGGTCACAGTGTATTCTGCAATTAAAAGCTTGGTGTCCATTATCTCAAAAGTTTCCTATTACTGGGGCAGGGACAGGGTTCCAAAAATGGAGAGTAGTTTGAATGATGTTTTTCTGATCCTTCAATGATCAGGCATTTGACAGCTCCGTCCTATGCTGGGCCTGGGTATACTTGCATTAAAACAAAAAGCAAACAGTACAACAAGCCTTCAGCATGAGGGCAAAGGTTATTCATCTCCAAAATCACAAACAAATTCCATGATTTTGGAGAGCCTATTATTGTGGTTCATCTTCTTATGTAGGCACATCAATTTAATTAAGTTAAGGGTATTTCTTGTCTACATGTTTATCTTTCAATTTTTCATGCAATTTTGTGATGAAAGATACCTTTTATGGCATGAAAGAAAATATATATGAAATATGAAAGTATAATAATAGTATATATGTTATGGTCAAATTCACATTTTTGCATTTATTCTACATACTGAACTAGTTATAACCATGCTATATTTATTATCACATACACCAGCCTTAATAAATGAAAACATCAGTGCTCATAGATAACACAGATACCAGTACATATCGTGAACAAGTATCCCTATAAAACACTTACCTGGACAAAGCGTATTTGATGTGATCTTCGACCCTTTTAACCTCTTAGCCAACTCCACTGAGAAGGCGCAGTTTGCAAGCTTGGAGTTCCTGTACGCCAGCATGCCGTCAAAGGTATCAGGCTTGTCCATCATTAGGTTGTCGAAATCAAGATGAGCAGCGCGACCTATATCATCATGAATATTCAGAGAGGAATGAAGGAAATATATTATTGTTACTATACAGAGAATTACCTTTCATCATCATTATTATCAGGCATACATCATTGCAACCATGGAGAGGGCTACCTGTATCATCATAAAAATGCAAGAAGAAATAGAGAGAAACACATCATTAAAAAAAAAAAAAAGGACTTCCTATATTCTCACAATCATGTTACCATATAATAATTTGTGTGTGTGTTTGTGCGCACAAGTGTGCCTTGAACAATTGATTTCAAGTGGATTTGGCGCCTTACAAATGTCATATATTATTATTATTATTGTTATCATTATTATTATTATGAGGAGTAAAGTGAAATAAGTATTTGTGACAATTAAGACGTTTCCGTTAGAGGATCATCATAGCTATGAAATTAGGTAAAGAGGGAATTATATCCTAAATTGAAGAAAAGAATACCATGTAGGGATTGGCCATAGATAGCTCAAATGACATTAGGTACTTCCACTTCAAAACTATTTTTTGGTCTTGATATTTTTTTTCTTCTTCTAAAGAATGTCAGTCACGTCCTCCTCATGAAAATGAACATTCATATGCGTAGAGTTTAATAATCTGAAGAGATACTTCCTTCAAAATACTTGTATTTAAACAGTAATTAGAATCCTATTATGTACACGGCATCTTATCTGTCTCCTCAAATTTGAAGTGTATGATAAGAGATAACACTGCCTTCCTTATCTCCTGCACCATTTATATGTGATATGTTTATCTATTTATTTTATCTTGATGATACATGTATGTATAAAGCAAACACCTGACAAAGCCTTCCTGCACATAATTACACTTGATTTCTATGACATATCATATCCTAATCTGCAATTTGATTCACATTCTGTTTAGCCCAAGCATCTCAGTCACTAATCAATGCGATTCCAAATGGGAAATCTTTATTTAATTCTTAATATCAAAATCAACTTTCAATTTTCAATAAAAACAATATAAAGATATATACAATGATAAGCGCTAGTGCCCTTTGGTAAGGCATTAATCCTCATTACCAGGTCTTTCGGAGAGGACCTAAAGCCGTCGGTCCTCTGGTTGCTTACTAACAAGCATTTATGCTTTCTTAGCAGTCAGGTAAAATAACCACCACTACACAACATAACTACATATTTAAAATCTTATCTCGACCCCAAACAAATTGTCTTCTTTCCATGCAACAAGTGTATTCCTTACAAAGAACACCGACACAAACTTTGAATATCGTCATTGGGGGAAGTGATACAAATTCAAAGGAAAGATAAACGTACCTCTATTTCCGCCCGGACCTTCTGGGTCATGTAGCATGGATGAAGTGTTCACAATCCTTACTTCATCACATGTCTCGGCTGTTTTCTTCATCACGTCTAGTAGAAGATGGGTCAGCAGAAAATGACCTGTAAAGATTCCCACCAGAGATATTGATGTCTTTCAATTTTTTAAATCTTTTACTGATCACTCAAAATTGTGATACTTCCTTTCTTTTCAGCAATGCTCGACACAGAAATGTAGCATTTATTTGGACTCTTATTCCTTGCGTGCCTCGGAAAGAGAGAAAGCATAATACAAATTCCTTTATGTTTATATAGATTATATATACCGGTACATATTATTAGATAACTCAATGATCCAATCTTCTGTATAAGGGCATGGAAGCCTCACTTTGTCTTCAAACTGCTAAAATCAACATAATGTGGATAATTTTGTTCATCCAGGGAAGACTCATCAGCATTAATGCTGTTCTTAACCCACCTTTTGCCAGGTACCCATTTACACCTGGGTGGAGAGTGGCAAATGTGGATTAATGTCTTGCAAAAGGACGTTAGTGGCGGGCTGGGATTCGAACCATCAACCCTAGGATTGAGAGTCAAGTGAATAAACCACTATTCCACAACACCTCCACAATTTGTGGACCTCAACTGTCATACCTAGATGATTAACTCCAAAGGTCATTTCAAAGCCATCTTCTGTCTCTAATCGATCTTTGGTTGAGAAGCCGGTAGTTAGCCCTGCGTTGTTACATAACACGTGCAGAGGTTTCTCTGTTGCATGGTAGGCATCAGAAAAGTCTCTCACAGACTTCAAGGAATTCAGATCAAGCTGTATGAAGATGAAAAACATTTAATGAAGAGCTGGATTGACCATGCTTGAATACACAGTCATTGTTTTTTCTTTTAATTTTTAAATTTTTTAAAACAAATACAAGCATGCACAATGCATAAACAATTGTTAAAGGTAAAGATCAGTATTGGAAACGCCCCAATTTAAAAAAAAATGAAATGGAAGCTCTTATTACCAATCATGTTAAAGAACATGTTTTGACTAATACATGATGATAAAAATTTGCCAGGAAACCGCTTACTAATTATATTTGCTTAATTAGTTTATCTTTTGGACGGTGATAGATAAAACGCACGTGTGCGTAGTCCCATATCCATCTTTCTGTGTACGGTGCTTGTAACTTTACCAAGACTGGGCGAAATTTCTTATCATTTTGATGATTCCAGAACCTTGCAGTACACACCAATACTATGCTAGATGGTCAACCTTTTCTGATTGATTCCACAACGTTTCTTTCACAATGCAATCGCATGACGATAACTGGTCTTTATCTTTAAGTTTCCTCTGTCATGGGAGACAATAAAATTTATTTAAAAAAAGTTAATTTACCTTCATAAAAGACACTTTTGCTCCAGGGACTTTCTTCTGTACTTCACTGACTGCCTGGTTTGCTTTGTCTTCACTCCTGCAAGCCATGATGACCTCGTAGTCATCTTTGGCCAGCATCTCCGCAGCAACCAGACCAATACCAGTGTTTGCCCCAGTGATGATTACCACTTTAAACAAAAAACATAGATATAATCAAACAAACACACAAACAAAAGCAAATAGAAATTTTGTATTTAGTTTGTCTAATAAGATAAAATATGATAATTCTATATTTCTCATTGACTTAAATTCAATTAAATGCAGTCTATACACAGAGGAATTCAGAAATTACTCTTGACAACCAAACATTCGCATATGACACACTTATCAAATCAAACCAAATAAATTCATTGAAATAGAATATGTACATGTAAGTCTTTCAACAACAACAAAAGTCATAAATTAACAGGATACAGTGAATAACTGACAATCTATCTTGAAAGTAAACAAGTAATCAATGTACAAATACAAACTGGGTATCAAATTCACAATTGGGAAGTGTTGACAATGACAATGACAATGGAATGACAATTATACATATTAACAAAAGAAGAATAAAAACAGGTCATAAATGAATAATCAAAACAGAATTTCAAATCATTACTGGGAAAAAATGCTATCGTTTGATTTTTTTTACCTTTAGGGCCTCCATCCTTGGGTTCAACTACATTACTTGATTTGTCTACTTCCTCTGCAACTTCCACCACCTGATCAGCTGGTCCTGAACTTGTTACTTGGGTCTCTTCTTCCTCTGGCTCTGGGACCTCCACTGCTTGTTCTGTTGTTTGGTCAGTTTGTTCTGTTGCATTGTGATCAGCATCACTTGGTGTGGGTTCCGACTCAGACATTCTGCTTTTTATGTTAAAAAGGCCTGGATATTGATAATAATTGCTAATGTTACAAGTAGGTATATATAAGAAAAGCTTGTAGTTGTACAAAACAAACTGATTACAGATACAAGTAAATAAATGAATGAATGAAAGAATGAAATAGCAAATAAATGAATACCCAGTATATTTTCATAAAATAAGATTTATTAAAAATTAAATGGAAACAAACTTTGAAATTCAAAGAATAGTCTTTTCCTATGCCCTGGTAATATATGACCTTGGCCTAGCCTAATGAAAAACTTTTCTTGATATGACTTTATGAGTAAGTAAGTTTATTGCTGTTGCGTTTTAAATATTACTCGGATAAGCCTGTAACCCTAGGGCCTAGCTGTACCCCCTGCATGAAGAGGCATGTAAACACACTGTTCATTAAGGAATTCCCCCATGCATACCAGACCGTAGCCTTACTGATCACCTAGTCCGCGTCCGGTGTCGGTGAGGGGCGGTGCCCGGTCAGATTACGCAGACAACTCAACGCCAGAGAAGAGCACCTACTCAGCTACTCCAGCCCAGCCGCTAGCCGTGCTGGGCAGCTGGGACTCCAACGCCAACGTACGCCCCACGGGATGACGCAGACAATATGATTTCACTCATTTTAATCACATAACATCTGAACGGAATAGGTGGTCAAGATTCATTACAGCTACACGATGGAAAACATTTTGTTACAATAAATATATTCAACCATTAATGGCCTTGCCCTCTTACTTACCTCAGCTCAAGCTGGACGATAGTGCATAGTCCACTTTGTTATCTAACTTATTATCTCTTTTGAAATTTTATGCAATTGGTATAGTCTTCTTCAAGACGACGCTAGCTGTTATTGGCTGTATTTCTTTAATTATTGTTTTATTTATGACATAGATATCTATAATATTAGCATTCCATAAATATGGTATATGCGTTATAAATTTTACAGTAAAGTATTAGAACATTTTTTCAATAAATGAACTGTGTAGTAAGAAAAATTAACATTTGTGTTAAAACACAGAGCCTTAATTTATTTTTACCAGATTAAACTGTTTACTTGACGGTCCAGATGAATCCCTTTTGCAGGGCAGCCAACCTCAAATTCTGTAGAGCTTTGCAGGGATTATGAATATGTCATGTATGTCCTATCTGTGAAATTTAAACATTAGCAGTGTCCTAGTATTCAAATTATGCAAGAAAATTAACCCGTTTACTTGCTAGACTTCACTGTCAGACATATTATTGAGTGACCGACTGGCTTTTTTTTCCTTTGGTAATAACATACATAACATGAGCTGTAAAAGGTACATGAGCATTTGTCTACATCAAATTCAATACCCCATTTCTTGTGATGGCCAAACTTAAACTGATTGAATCTTTGCGCAGCATAAAATGTATGACCATTCGATACAATAGTCTAAAAATCAAGACTATTACTTATTGGCTCTATAGCTCCTAAGTCGATTTGACAACGAATAGTCGTTATATTCCCACTTGAAGACATTTTCAAGCCCCACCTTTTTTAGGAAAGTTCTAAATTAGTATTATCTTTCAAATGCCGTTGGAATTTAACCTTTTCAATTTTTTGGCCTGCAAATGGGACATAATATATAGTACCTTTAAGGCATTTAATTACGGTCAGAGGAGCATCCAGGGCATAGCGCCGGAAGTGTGTGTGTGTGTGGGGGGGGGGGGGGGCAAAACACATTTTTTGCCCCCCCCCCCCCCCCCACAAAAAAAAACAGTAAAGGAATAAAGATGGTTTGTACTTTTAACCCAAAAGAACTTAACAACAACAAAAACCTGAATCAAATCACATATAAAATTCCATTCAAAGAAAAAGAAAGTTAACAACAATTAAATTTCCTAAACATTCCGCATGCCACCTATATTTATCAATGGAGGTTTTAAAATAGCGATACACGCATATCGTGGAAATATTATAAGAGGATGGAAAAGAGTGTGTGTGTTTTTTTTGTCATAGGGGTGAGAATTAAGACATGAGCCTCTGAACACTGGCGTACTGAGGGGGGGGGGGGGTTATTCCCTAGGGCGGTTCCCTGGATGCTCATATGACCGTAATTAAATACCTAACACCTCTGAATTTCAACAGGCTCTGCCCCCTGGACCACATCAATGGCCTTAAGGTGGGCCCCCTCGATGCTCATCGATCTAAGCGTATACCTAAAACCCCTGAGCTTCCGGGGGCTCTGCCCCCTGGACCCCCGCCAATTAGTGACCTGCCAGTGTCACAAATAATGTATCTAAATATGCTTATCTGATCGTAATTTAATGTCTAAAAACCCTGAACTTCCGAGGGCTCACCCCCTTGACCCTACCAATTTACGCTCTACCTGATCGTTAAAGCCCCAGTCCCATATAAAGCCGGACCAGCACGGACGAGCACGGACCACTCCGGACCATCCCGGACCATGGTCTGGGGTGATCCGGGATGGTCCGGGATGTTTTGTTCAAAAAATCGCAACCGCCGACCGTCTCCCCGGACCCAACACGGTACCACTACGGACCGCCCCGGACCGTCCGGGCATAGCCCCGGCAGCAGTACAGATCATTCCAGACCCAGCACGGAGCCGCCACGGACCGTCCCGGACCACCCCGGTGCCAACACGATGCCAACACGGATGACACTGGACCATCCCGGAACGCCCCGGTGCTGGTCCAGGGTGATCCGTGTCGCCACCGTGCTGGGTCCGGGATCATCCGTAGGGGCGCCGGGGTGATCCGGGGTCAATAACTCACTCCCGGACTGCCACGGATCAACACGGACCGCCCCGGGGCCACTACGGATGACCCCGGACCCATCACGGTGGCTACACGGATCACCCCGGATCAAACTATTGTCCCGGACCGTCCCGGACCACCCCGGCAGTTTTTGACCGTCAAAAACATCCGGGGTCGACTCCCGGACCGCCCAGGACCATCCAGGACCATCCAGGACCACCCCGGTGCCAACACGGTGTCAACACGGACCGAATCCCGGATCACCCCGGATGGTGTCCGGGATGGTCCGGGACGGTCCGGGACGTATATGGGACTGTAGCTTAATACTCCACTTTGAAAAACGTTCCGCCGGGCCTGAATGTAACCTGTAAGAGTGGTGGTGATGCAGATTTTTCTTCTGCCCCCCCCCCCCTCCCCTCCTTTCAAACGTTTTTGCTCATTACGTCAATGCCCCTGGAAGGTGAGCCCCTGGAATGTTTGCCCCCCCCCCCCTAATCCCAAACTGCTTCCGGCGCGCCTGGTCCAGGGGCAGAGCCCCCAGAAGCTCAGGGGTTTTAGGTATTTAATTACGGTCATATGAGCATCCAGGAGCCCTCATGAGGGCCTTTGGTGGGGTCCAGGGGGCAGAGCCCCCTGAAGCTCAGGGTTTTTTGGTATTAAGTTAATTACGGTCAGATAAGCATCCAGGGACCCTCCTTAGGGCCCTTGAGGGGTTTCCAGTGGGCAGAGGTATAGGCATTTAAATTTAATTTAATTAATTGGTGACGCTGGCAGGTCACTCATTCTTTCTTTCTTTCTTTAAAGAAAGTGAGGGGGTGTTCGAGCCCCCGAGCCCGCCGTTCTGCAGGCCCTGACATGAAGGCTTCTAAATGAGCACATTTTTGCCTGAATGAAAATTTGGGAACTTATCATTTTTCAATAAACGCATAAAAAAGTATAATTTACAAAACAAAATGAGAAAAAAAATCCCGGAAAATCATGTTATTTCAGCAACATTTGTAACTCACTAGTATCGAATTAAAAATAAGCCACGTTAGATTTTTTTTTTATTGGGGGATGTTCTGGATTCAATTCAGGTGTTATTATTTTGTATTTTCTGTTTGGTTTTCAAATACAAACCCTTTTTACTCCTTTACTGCTGATTTTTTTTTTTTTTTTTTTTTGGGGGGGGGGGGGAGGGGGGGGAGGTGTTTTGGGAGCGGGGCGTGCGAAAATGCCCCCCCCCCCCCCCCCCAAATTCCGGCGCCTATGTACATAATGTCTACATACGTGTCTTTACACGCATCTGAATTTCAAGAGTTAAGCCAGTCAAAAGTGGTATATGCATAATAGGGTATATCGGTGGAGAAAGTGGCACTGCCTTCGTTCCCGGCAATAAGCTGCTTAAACCAGTTTAAAAACATTGGCATCAATGGAGTGATGTGAAGAAGACGAAGGCATTGATGCGAATGTTCAGACACTCTACTCCTAAAATTATCTGTAGTTGCACTTGTATACTGAAGAAAGTTAGGCTTGATTTCAATTTTTGGGTCGATATCCCATCTTAGGGGAATTGATTTTTGACGCTATATGCAATTCCCATGGTAACCTTTGACCTTTGGTCAACATTTTTTATAAATTTGTTATCAAAAGATAGGGGCCGAATGGATTCTACTCCCAACCCATTTAGAGTTAAACAACAAACGAACAGGAATAGCTAAAATAACGTTTTCAATTTCCAATGGCTGGACTTCTGAAGTGAGGTATATAAAGATTGTTAATGTCATTACCATGTTTACAGGTCTAAACGTAGAACAGAAAATTAATTTTACTTAATTTATTTCTTCTTTATTTTCTTCTTTTGTAGGGTAAAAAAATAATCATGGCACAATTAATAGACTAGAAATGAATACAAAAGGTTGGCTTTAAAAGGTGAATGTCTACTTCGGACACGAAGGTGGACAAAATTGCAGAAAAATAAATAAAATATAAGCATAGGTATCACAACTCACATAATGATAGGCCTAGGCTTAATATTGATAGCAATGTTTTTCATTGCGTCTCCAATTTATGAAAACAAATATACATTTAAGTTCAGAGGGAGCGACTGTAAAGTCAGAAGATTTAAAATTGATACATATGTTTTCATAAAATAGAGTACATGACATCGGAAAGAAAAGGGTAAACAAATAATTTACACGTTCAATCGTAATAAATGAGATAAACGTCATAAAGGAGGGCTTACAGAGTAAGCATAAAGCTTGATGTGCTAGTAGCCCTCAGTTTTAACTAAACAACATCATTAGTATAAGATTTTTTCGATCCAAGAAATTAGGTGGAGTTGGGTCACCTACATCTCACTATTTTTAGATGGGGGGGGGGGGGGGAGAAAATCCAGCATATTATGAAATTACATACTTTGCCTGAATCACGAACGCTTACAAAAGCAGGAAGCGTTAACATTTGGGTATACAAAAATCATACCATGCTATATCCTATGTATAGGGGATGATTTTCTCCATTAATATATTTAGTTTTATATTATTTTCTGTCATGCAGTCCTCAAAATAGTTTCACCTGATGATAGGAGTTTGAGTGAATATTCTTTTAAGTATGTAAAAAGAATTCCAGATTGTGACTTTGAGGACCAAAAATAATAGTATTTCTCTTCGTTTTATTTCATCCTTTTATGATCTGTTTATGTTGTTATCATTATTCATTTTGCTTCATTTACAGTTCATAGGGTAGCTTATTTGTTTTCAATGTGCCGAACAATATTTCATAAAAGCTAACATTTCCCCCCTCATTTTAAAGTGTTGATTAAGAAGATTTAGTGTATCTCTTTAAATACAATGAGTTGTTTTCTTTAGTACAGCACCTGAATAAAGGGAAGGACGGATATTACTCCCTGATGAATCTTAGCTGCTATACTCAAAACTTGGATGCAATTGCGTCAGTCGTCGAACTTTAAAGATAAGCTTGAGTTCTGGTAATGATAGAAAATAAATTCTCACAGAATCCTACGAAACTTACCGTCTGAATGTTCAAGATGACAACTAAATGACATGTGCCAAACGATATTGGTTTAGAAGATGTACAGGGGCTGAGTAATGAGCATAGAAAGATAAGGAAATCAAGGCCCGACACCAATAGTATGGTGCTTAACACGGGTCACTACGTGCACATGAGAGTTAATTGTGTCTTAATTGAAGATGATTTCCAGCCAGTTTGTGTGAGTTTGTTTTTACTTTAATGGTTCAAACAATCAATCTACTGCAGAATAAACGATCCAGAATGAATTATAGCCATGTTCTCTCGGCATACCATTCCCATACCAGAGCCCAGGATTATAGCATTAACAATGAAATTGTGAATCTATATGCCCTACAGTAAAGACAGAATGATGGGTGAATAAAGTGCTTGCTATATGCCTAAATTTGTTACAGGTTCACTTTTTGGTATGAGACCATGGCCTTGATTCGTATTACCTTTGTGTGAGTATGTGTGTGTGCGTATGTGTGTGTGTCTGTAGGTGTGGGTGTGGGTGTTTTGCATGCAACAGATATGATTATCCAAAGGTAACTTCGAATTTTCTTGAAAGTAATTCTACATCATCATCATCATCATCATCATCAAGATACGAGGAGAGGTTGATCCTGTAATCCTCGGTCACTTCTTCAGGGTTGGTTATACTATACAGTCTCCGGTCGATGCACAGGGTAGAGACGGTTTTGATCAAATCAGATGAATCAAATCGTTCAGACCACCAGTTTTATCAGTTGTGGTACAACTGACTGTTGAATATTTTTGTATCAGGAAATAGTCATCGAGACCCATACCAACACACCGAGTCATTGCCCAGATTTTGTTTGACCTGAATATCACAGCTCTCTTTTAGTAAGTTGATTATCTTCATCTCCTATTCATACCTATCCTGCGAAATACGACCCTGTTTACAACAGTTTTGTTCAGCTCTCATTAAAGATTTGCTCTATACATACGGTCGGGGCCTTGGTTTCATTCTTGCTTTAGTTCGCGCTCGTTGAGTCGGAAAAGAAAGAATGGGCTTATTATGGTACAACCTGGAACCATATTCCGAGCGTGGAGAACCAATGGCTGTGCATCACCTATTGTGATGTCATGGAATCCTTTCATCCCCTGTGCTATTTGTAATTGTACCAACGGACGGATGATTATCATGAATGGGTGTTCCGTGTGCGATTTGAGTCTGAAAACGGCAACACTGTTATCAATGAATGGGACTGAATTTTTAAACTAGGCCGGCAGATAGGCAGTTGGCTTCCGCATAAGCTACATCGCTCAAGACAGTGTGGCGCCACTTTTGGTATCAGCTGTTGCAGCAAGTCACATATAGGCCGGCCTACACTTGGAATCCAAATGCTGTACCCGACAAGTTGTTGGTACAACATGCGGGAATATTAATTGCGGGAAACTGAAAGGTGACATAAAAAGGAATACAGCGATGAGGAACAGATAGTGACGGATCAAATTACATTTGGAACGGCGACACATTGGTGATATATCTATCTGCATCAGATAGCTTGCCGTACGCCCAAGCCAAGGGATCGAAATAAACCCATCTTTCACCCACTGATCAGTCTATTTGTATCGCAGATGGTCTAACATTTGACAATATTTGTTCGAAAGTGTCATCTTTAAGGAGGAAAATATAAAGACAGCGATGCCGAGCCCCGAGGATGGTTCTAACGGGAGCGCTCGCCCGAGGGTAAGAAACTCAACCGAATTCACACGTTTTTCATTTCAAAAAGAGAATGCTTTCGTGTTAATTATGATGCCTGTTTGTGCATTTAACAATAATATGTTCACTATTTTGATTGTATTTGTGTTCATTTTACCTGAATTCACCTGTATTCACCTGAATTCACCTGTATTCACCTGTATTCACCTGTTTTCTCGTTTGTAAGATAACAAGACAATGTCTAATAATGCCCTCCCATATAGTTAACCAATACACCACTGCAAGTGTCCATTCCTTTTTGTATTAGTATTTAATGGAAAAACTTCTTGCACATGTTACATGAATATTTTGTTTTACAAAACACAAGTATAAATAACAAATATCATTATATACATAATTATGATAGTTTCATTATGGCATGCATTGTATTGTATTCCAATTATAATGAGTCATTCTATGTACATGTATGACGCATTATTATAAGCTCACTAGTGAAATATGATATGTATGTATATAGGCTTAGTCTAAAGTCATACTCCAACTATTATGTGTGCCGTATATAATATGTTTATCAATACTGTTTTATGTAAATGCAATTGATATATGGATAATAATATGGTTGTGTACATATTTGATGTCGGAGTGAATCATTTTCATACACTGAATGGCTTCCATCTATTCTGCCATCGCAAACTGATGCCATACAATAGCAAGGTTGATTGTCATGCATATTAATATGCATACTAATAGTGATGCCATTTGGGGGCATGCCATATCGCTATGGCAATACTACATGTACATGTATATGTAATTCATTTGTATCCTACATAGGCTATATTCCATATGACTATAAGGTCATCAGTGATTTTAACTCGCACGACCTTTTAAATGCACCAACAACAGGCATACACTGCAAATGAGCATCTAAGGTGATTCCTCAGCACTACATCCTTACTTATGGATCCTGCTGAGTATCGTCATGGAAGAAGTAGAAGTGATCTGATATTTTAAGCATTTTCATTTAGTTTTTTTATTCACCGCGATTTGATGATTCATCTCTAACCATGTACATAATTATCATGCGTCCAATGATGGGAAAACCCCGTTCGTTGACAAGAAATATTGACAAATCGTTGTAGCTTCACTGTGTACGTTAGGTAAATTTACCATTGTTATTGTCCTGTTGAGAGATTTATCAACACACAAGCAATGGCGAAGTGGTAGCAGTCACAGCACGAAATGCATACATTGTATATACACTTTACTCATTGGTTCACAATAATGTGACTACTTTGGCTACTACATTCATTGTCGTCATAATTGAAGCTAAAACACACACAAACATTTCAATTGAATTAAAATTCTCGAAGCTTTTATTTATATTAAGAGGATATTAAGAGGATTTTTTAAAAGAAAGATCAATGTTAATATTGCAGGAAATTAATTATATTCATGCTCATTTCAAAGTTGACTTTATATTCAAATTGGTGTATTGGAATCGAAAGTATCAGGAGTGATAGTATTGAAGATTATTATTAAGGATAATTATTCATAATGCATAATTGATCAATGTTTCTATCAAAAACAAACATATACAACTATTCTCTTTAATACTTCTAACATTAAGTAAAAAACGACTGAAGAGACAATTATTAAAAAATTGTCCGTCTGTTTTTGTTTGACATTTTGACATATTGTAGAGTGGATCGGTCTAAAACCAATCCTATCTGTACTACAAACATTTCCATGCTCATATTGTGTAAATAAACCTGCATCAATGTTTAATCAAGAATATATATACATGTATATGTATTTTCACTGGTAAACATTGTAAACCAAATTCCTACTGGCAAATTATATCTTGGTTAATAATAGAACAAATTAACTGGCCATGCATTTTTGTAACGTGTTATAAAAGTCATGTACTATAACCTCGTTGTATCATCAATTATACTTATGATGATCTGGTTGACTTCTGAAGCAGAAAGCAGAGTATAACTTGTTTGTTTACATGCAGAGATTGTTTACACATAGATTATGGTTTTGTAGTGAAACACTATAAAGGCTACAATTATCAGCTGTTTAACAGATGAATTTACTACCAAGCTGAAGGAGACTGAAATAGACCATGTTCTAATTTATTTTAGTCTTAGTGGAAATTAATTTGGTTCATTTTTCCCTGGATGGCATACAGAAAATGTTACCCTCACAGGTCAAGTTACTTGTCATTTTTTTAAAAGGGATCTGGTAACTTTGTCTCTGATTCTGAAACCAACTCCTGGATTTAGCTCATGCTGCAATGATAATTATAAACCTTTAGGTCAGTCAGGAACCCCATGACTTTTACAAGCCGATCGGCTGTCTGATTATCAAGATATTTATGATTGGAATAACAAATTTTGAAAACCGTTTGTCGAAAACCGAGTCCATTGGGGAAAACGACGTCGAGTATAGTAAAACCGGTCACTCAAAGACTTTTACTTTTTGGAGGCACTTCTTAATCATTTGAGCGCAATTTTTTTAGGGCTTCAATATTACACCATTATCACAGACACTGATAACACGTAGGGCCGTGCATCTCAGATTTAACATTGTTAAACGATCCCTTTAATACAGTAAAATGTTATGTAAATTCAATGTACCAAACATTTCTTGTCATAAAATCAATGAATTTAGACGAATTGGCCGTTTTGTAATAGAAAGGCATATCATGCAATATCAAAATTCCGTTCAAATTAAAGGAGGCGTCAATATTGTGTATGTGTGTAGGGGGGGGGGGGGGGGTGGTGACATTCCTGGAATGAACATTCCATTCTATACAGCGTTTATCTGTTTAATTCATTTTAATTTACCCACCCCCTCCCCCTTCCTGACCAAAAATAGATAATACCTCAAAGATAATACCTCAAATAGTTCAAATTGAGGTCATGGCCATGCATTCAACTCCCTTTTTTTTTTATTGAAAATCGACTGAAAACAATTTTGAATGTAGCGCTTATCAGTCTAAAAATCCTTTCATGCTTATGTGCTTACATAGCATTTATTTGCATTATCACCAGCATTTTTTAAAAATCAGAAAGACAACTAGGGGCACTAAACTCACATGACAAAAGTACTGCAACAACAAGTATTATATACTTTATATTTCTCATAGGGAGGGATGGGGGGGGGGGCACTTGCCCACAAACAACCTCCCTTGATTGAACATACATGTTATTATATTCTATGTTATGTATAGCACTTGTTATTTCATTTCATATATCTTAATTCATGAGCAATACCTAATAAAGATTTGTTCTTTTGAAAGAAAAACAAATCGTTTTATCTTCATAATAATTTATTTGTCCGTTCTTCATTTGGCAGAGAGTTCCCGCAGGAAACGCAGCGGCGGCCTACCTCCCAGCAGGCGTATCCCTAAGTGCCCGGGCTACACCAGTACATTATCAGCCCAACAATGGTGGGGGCGCTTCAAGAGTAAGTATACATGAAAGATTATTATTGTCGGTCATCTGTATATACCCCCTCCCCTCACACGCACAAAATATTTTTTTTTTAAAACACACATCCACAAAAAGTTTCTGAATCAATTTAGCACGGTGAAAAAGTACCTGTCTTCATTTTGTTTAAATTGAATTTCAACTGTAGGCCTACTTGTGTTTTCTAATTAAAACTTATGTTCATACACACATTACAATGTTACTGTCTTATTAAATAGACATAGATGTGATTGGAAAGGGAGGGGGGGGATGCTATGTCACTTTTTTACATTTGTAAGAGTCATACATTCAAATTTTACTATACTTCAATATTGGGATCATTGTAATCAGTCTCGTTTATCGGGATCAATCGAAAAGGAAAATTCGTTGACGAGCAATTTTTCCCTCTCACTGTGATCCATATAAAATGGACAACAAACTAGATCAGTGCTTTATTTAATCATGTACTTGTTATTTTGACTTTTCCTGACACTTTTTGTACCTTTATAGTAATTTTGACAAGCATGCGGAGCCCGGTACGGGCCATTATTAATAGTGCACTATGAATAGGCCCAAATATGTCATCATTCATATTTCAACAATGACTCCCGCATTATTGAACTCTGAACTAAGGTTGAACCGATTAGGCTCTTGATCCAATTTCTAAAGAATAACTGATCAAAATGAACAGATTGTAGGTACTGAAGAAGAAAAAATGTCTCACATTTTATTGTAGTGCTTCCACAGAATTGATATTTTATATTAAAAACAACCTTCATGAAGGGTTGATTCACCTAAAAAGTATTTGTTGCATAAAAGAGCATTCTCTTTTAATTTTGTTCAATATACTATAGGATCGATATTATGTAATGCAACACATATTCACTTGAGTTTGAGTAGTGTACAAACGAACCTAATATGCCCACGTTTAAAAGTAACTATATTTCTGTTCATTGTTTGTAAGTAATTCAATTTACTACATCATGCAAGATTAGTGTCCCCCCCCCCCCACCTCTCTCTATCTCTCTCTTAAAGAAAATGCTTTTAAAACCAATAATATTAGAGAACCTTCTTATAAGGAAATGATTATGTTTTAGGTGATCAATTAGGAATTATTTGGATTTCCTGATGATATCTTATTTTGTTATGTTCTCAATTTCTCGTTTTGCAATTTTGATAATTAATGAATTACATTTTGTTTCTATTCATCTGCAGCGACCTTCCAACACGAGCACTGCGGCATCATACCTACCACCCGGTGTGGGTAGCGCCAGGGCCACCCCGGTCCACTACCGACCCAACGACGTAAGCAACTCCCGGGTAAGTACATGAAGCCTTGAACACCAAAGCAATGACCATCACTTTTATTTTATACGAAAGTTCCCTGTGAAATAACATAAAACATGCATGCTATCAGTATATGACAGACACAGACCAGAGACCAAAACGACATGCTCTGAAATCAGTATGATGCTTAGAAACTGCGTAAATGGACTAGCTACCAGAGCCTTGTTAGACCATTTTAAATGGAGGAGGAGAATATCGGGCCTAATTTTATCCAGGGATTTCAAAGAAAAATTGTCTTGAATACAAAATATTATTGTTGGAGAGAATGTGCTTTGAATGACAATTTAAAGCGTGCAGCGAAGTATCACAAAATCAATATTGAAACTGTTCCAGAACAAAGATTGGTTTACCTATAGCATGTCGAATGAGTTCAGCATCCTGGTTCATCATGAATGAAACCTTTACAAACAGTTAGTATCGAATGAAATGCAGATGAAATATTCAGAATCAGATTGAGATTCAGATTAATTGTATTGGTCCATTTGGAAATTCAGTTGTTGGCATTACATAAGCACATATACAATACACAATAGAAAATAATATACACAAATAGATAATACACAGTAGCAAATGTACAATGACATATTCATATGGAAACACGGATATAAATCGTTTTTACATAGTGGAATGATATAAGAAAATAGAATAAATAAATGGACTTCCAACACTATTGAAAATGCACGATTGCGTAGAATTTGGAAATAGTATTGTTATTATATTTTATTATTATTATTTTTATCATTATTATTGTTATAATAATTATTATTGTTACTATTATTATTGTTATTATCATCATCATCATTATCAACAGTATTTATTACATGTATCATTCTTTGTCACGGTTTTATAGCTAAATGCTTTCTTCTTTTTTCCTTCATAAATTAAATGGTATATAACTAAAATTTGGAATAACATATGGTATCATAGGGTATTAATTATTTCTTATTAAATTATTCCACCCTTCTGGAGTGGAAATCCATGCTAAAAATAATAGAATCCAGCCAATCCACTCTCAAAACTTACCCACACCTTTGGGATGGATTCCTCTTAAATTTCGAAGGGGATTCAACTCCAAAGAAAACAAAGTATGACTCCAAAAAGAGTGGATTTCCAATCCGGTCTCTACATGAAGAGTGTTCACATTTAATTCAATAGCAAACGATATTCACATTACGTCGTAGTAATGTCCTGTCTATCCTCGCACATTATTCGATTGTCAATACTTGACTCTTAGTACATTATACATAAAAAAATTGGCATATCCTTTATCTTTCGACTATTCCTTGGTTCACTTCTTCGAGGAACGGTAAATTCTGCATTTCTTCCTGTATAACACTTTTAAAAATAAAGAATTGAAGTAATTCATGACTTTAAACTTATGACAAAGTCATTGTAAACATATTGCCTGGCAAATTGAAATAACCATACAGGATTATCACTCGCGGACAGAATCCTGCCTTTTAGTCTTTTGCGATTCATCGTTAACTCCAGCTTTTCGTTTTAAAAACAGTGTGGTGTAATAATGGATAGAGATTTAGAACTGTAGTCCAACGTACATTTATACATTATAATACAAATCTAAACAAAAGATTCGAAACCAAGAATTGTGGTTACGGAACAATAAAACTGTTTTCATTCCAGCTAACACGCATGTCGTTCTTTTATGAGCCAATGGGGTGAAAATAATTCAACAGACAATAATTTTAGAAGAGTTTTTTGTTTACCAAGGCACTGTACTTTGCTCCCTCTCTTTGTTTATGAGCAATTTCCTGAAAGAAATATAGGGATATGTATTAACTCAGGGTAATATATTTGTAGACCGTCTGAACTACATTCAACAAATAACTGTTATTTTTTGTTATACTGTTTTCATAGACGTATTGTTAACGTTGCATAAACCTTCAGCCTCATAAAAATGGCAGAAACATTTGATTTAGAATGCTTTTGTTCAAGAAAAATACATTCAAATATAAACTTATGTATGACAAAATCGAGACTTAGATCAGGTTAAATCTGTCAATTTGCTAACAGTATAGTTCCCAAACAGACGGAAAACATGAAAAAGATACATTTGTCTCAGTAAAATAATCTACACTCCAAAGCCTATAACAGCAGAGAGTACATAACACGTCTTGTAGGGATAATCTTGATAACTGTTATATTTGTAACCTTTTTGAAAGTCGGGAATGGATAATGGGCGATGAAATGGCTTCTTCTAATCGCATCAGATGCAATTTAAAGAGCAGATGAAAGTAAAATTCAATGTTGTATTTCAACCTGTTTTAATTTCTCTGAATTTTTCGTCCTACATGTCGTAAAGAGAAAGATAAAACGAGCTTTAATCAGATCATCTTTTTTCACAATTTCTTTAATGTAATATTTTATTTCATCACAAATGAGTTCATTACAAGTATAATTATCATTCTTTATGCTGAACTCAAAGATCATATGTTATGATTATTTTTTCTTCTTCACATGCAGAGACCTTCTAATACCAGTTCTGCAGCCGCGTATCTTCCAGCGGGTGTGTCACTCGGTTCTCGAGCCACGCCCAATCCTTACCAACCAAGCAGCGGTAGGACCACGCCCCGAAACATGTTCGTACCAATCAGCGGACGGAGTACTCCCATGCCGGATAGTGGGCGAACCACACCCGCATCACACATGCCTCACAGTGGCCGGACCACGCCCGCATCAGTATACGCCCCTCCCAGCGGTAGGGCCACACCAGTGTCTATCCGATCCGTGAATGGGAAAACCTCACCGGCTTCCTTGCATTCGGCTAACAATGAAGCCCGAAGTCGGTCGGTGTCTCGTTCTCGAGATCCGCCAGTACCGGCAATAAGGACATTGTCCAAGGAGGTCTCCAAGAAGAGATCTAAGTCCCCCTCTCGTCCTCCGAGCATCCCAGATGCGGTGAGAATGTTTCTCCAATAACAGTTCAACATAACCTGTAAAATTATAATCCCCAAAACATTAAATTGCTTGTCGATACCGGGCCTTTTAAAGCTTATCTGCCATAGTTTACAGGAGGGATTAGATCGCCCTGCAAGGTCACTGGACAGGTGGTTATCTCATCAATTCAGCTCTCAGTTAACATAAGAAAAAGAGGATCATGGGGGACCAATGGTCACCGATTAGGCATTGTTTGTTATATAGAGGGCGCAAGTAGCTACAAGTAGTGCAGTGGGCCTTTAAGTTCAAAACTTTAACCATTTATTATTCTGGAGTTTATCGCAGCCTGCTGTCGAACCATTTAAATTCCAATCATTCCTCCACCCCCTAAGAATTCAAAGAGTCTTTTAAATTGACGACTTCCAACAGGCCTTTTTAACAAATGTGAGTTAAAGTTCTTTCGTTTGTTATGGGATAGGAGTTGTTTTGATTAGAGGTTATACAATTATCAGTTTCTAGTTCCTTGTAATTAGGGCTATATTATAATAATGGCCAGCAGTTATCCACAAATAAAAGAAGTTTTCTTTGAAGGAAATCGAACAACATGCATTCCTATTTACTTCTATTTGTGAATTCCGTGTTCGTTACAACTATCTGCTTATAAATACACTGCTTCGCGTATTATCTGATTATGGGCCCCTCACATTCACTATAGTGAGCCCATAGGGCAATACATAACTTGGCAGCCTTTTGTGGAAGCCAATACAGTACATGACTACGATGTAATGATAGTTCATTTTGAATAGCGGCATTAGTAGCCGTGATCCTTGCAGGCGGAATCTAAGCGAGCAGTTGTGAAAAGGCATCTATTGTAGTTATTACGTAATCCACAACAGAATGTTATCCAGCCGAAACGCCTATATTCCAGCCGAATTGTTCCCCATTTGTAAGATGTCCTTGTAAATGAACATATCATACATTCTTTGGAATATAGGGGAATTAACCAGAGAGATCGATCTCTCCATCTCACTGCTTTTACCACATTTTTAAAGTCTTCCTGTAGAGAAATTAAGTACATTTTCAATTCATTGGTGATAATAATCTGAAAAACCTCCTTTATCCTACTTCATTTGAACGTCACTGGGATTTCAATCTAGTTGATGCAGCTCTTCCCCATACGTGAGCCGACTATTGGGAAATTAATAATGATACAAGTTTTACAGCAATTAAAACCGCATCATTTTAATATTGCTATCTTGAAAATTTACACATTGTCCTCTCTGAAATATTTCGTATTTACACAGTGCATAAAACTATAACATTCCTGATATAATCTTTGAGAAAAAAAAACACCCAATTTCTTGCCTTCCTGTTTCGCTGGGATGTCAGTAAGCATGGTAAGGCTTCATTTGCCTTATTTTTATACAAAAGTGAAACACAGTATTGTATATGACAATTGGTAAACAACAATAATCGAATAAAATGTTGGTCTTATGAATAATAACCAATCACCTAAACATGCAAACGTATATAATATGAAGCTCTGTGAAACTCGTGCAAAGTTAGGCATATTAATTCTTACTGTATAAATCATATTTATTTATTTCGTTTTTCTATCTGTCTTTTTCCTCTCCACCTCCCACCCCCCCCCATATCTCTCTCTCTCTCTCTCTCTCTCTCTCTCTCACTCTCTCACTCTCACTCTCTCTCTCTCTCTCTCTCTCTCTCTCTGAATGTCTGCACTTCAGACTGACGGTGGAAGTGACAAAGAGTTTGAAGGAGATGAGAACGAGGAACGTGGTAACTGGAGCAACAAGATGGACTTCCTCCTCTCGTGTCTCGGGTATGCCGTGGGTCTGGGAAACGTCTGGAGATTCCCTTATCTAGCTTATAGGAATGGAGGAGGTACGAATCGTTGGAGGCTTGTATGATCACTGACTCGAGGCCCATATTTGTATTTGTTCTATAATTTAGAATATATGAGAGTCCGGATCCATATTTAAAAGTTACTTTTAGATTTACACGACGAGAACGTGGACCGCCACGTGTGACATCAGGGACTTTTAGAATGAGTGGACGAGAACACGACGAACGCCAACTGACCATGCGTGTCAACGTACTCAACTGCCCATGTTGACTACAATTAGAAATCTTTTAGATTGCACTCAACGATATACATGCATGTAGGAAGTAACACTATATGAACATGACAGACAAAGAAAGAGGACAAAATATACAGTTCCTCATTCTACTCTCAACAATAGGCCATTTTCGTAATGTAACCAAATTTAATGCATAGGTCTTTGTGAAGTGCCTCGATTCACCTGATATGAATAACAGTATTTCAATAGTCAGAATGCAACTGCATATATTAAGTGTTGCTAGGTAGGTCAAACCATAATGTTTGTCCAACCTAGCTGGCAACAACTATAATGTATGCAGTTAGGATTCTGTCTATTGAAACACTATTATTCCTATCAGGTGAATGAAATAGTTTGTATTGAGGCACTTCACAAAGACCTGTGCATTAAATTTGGTTACATTACGAAAATGGCCTATTGCTACGTGGTAGAACATCCCTTCACTGCTATTATGTAAAAATGTGTAGAACAGGTGAACATGCATGTGACACCTGTTCTACACATTTTTACATAATAGCAGGGAAGGGATGTTCCTTTGTCTACCTGAGGAACTGTATATTTTATGCGCACGCGGCATATACTAGTACCGTACTAGATTTAGGAAAATCAAGGTTGACGCATTCTCGATCGCCGACTGAGACGACGTGACGCATGCGCAGTGCCTTAAAATGACGTCACACGTTGCAGTCAAGGCTGTCAACGTGCAATTCTAAAAGTCCCTATCCTTTTAAGGTAATGTGACGTCCTTCTAAGGCACTGCCGGGCACAGCCCAGTGCCTTAACACAATGTCACACGCGGCAGTCCACGCTCTCGTCGTGTAAATCTAAAAGTTCCTAATATACCTCATGAAAGTGACTACACCCTACACCAATTTCAAAACAAGTCAATATAACTTTGTAAGCGTTGTAGATCTACTATGCGAGCGTAATAAGTATACACCCCTTCACACTTCGACTGGACTAACCAAATCAAACCTAACTATAAGCGGGATCATTATGACCACCCTATCACATTTTATGTATCATGATTATCTTCATAAACTGATTTATCAAAATTGAGAACTTTATGAATGGAAAGCATATCCAAAACAAATATAAATACGTCTATCTCATTATCAATGTCATTATGTCAATATCATACAGAATAGGTTTGTTCAGTTGTAGCCTTGTTCTTGATTTCAATTCAGTGGATTTATTTTTGTATCTCAATCCTCATTCTAGGTGCCTTTTTAATCCCTTACACAATCATGTTGTTTTTCGCTGGTCTACCTCTGTTTCTGATGGAGGTATCATTCGGGCAATACTGCAGTCTGGGACCTGTCTCAATATGGAGATCTGTGCCGATCGCCCGAGGTGAGTCAGCGAAATGGATTTATTTAATGTTTCATGATCTTTTTTAAAAAATTGTATATCTTAATCTTTATCTTTCGTTATAATTGTAGGCCTACTGAGTGTAATCTTATAATGTCATCAAAAGCCTTTGTCAATTATGAGCAATTCAACCATTAGCTGCTAATCACAGATTATAAACCATGAATGAATACATAATTAAAAAGAATAAACTAATAAACTTAGATATAGGATTGATTAATAATTCTGGGTAGATTACAAGTATCCTAAATCTATTTTGAATGCTTCTTTCTCTCTTTCTTTCTCTCTTTCTTTTTTTCTTCTCTCTCTCTCTCTCTTTCTCTCTCTTTCTATCTTTCTCTCTCTTTCTATCTCTCTCACTCTGTCCGCCTGTCTCTCCCTCTTCAGTCAGACCGCAGCGTGCGCGATAATGAGGCTGTACGCTGATTTTTATTCAGCGTCTCTTTGGTAATCTCGTGCATTCACGTGTGCTGAAATTCACGAGATTTTCCGTGAGATTTGTAAGGGTGTACAAACAGCTGCTTTTGTGGTCGATATCTTTAGTCAACATGGCAGCACGCAACGGTAATTACTCTAAAGATCTTCAGCTTCAGTTTGATATGAAACTTGCCATATTTCACAATTTTGAAACAATCTTTTTTCACCACTTTTATGGTCGTTATTTTTGTAACATTGCAACAGCTATTTTGTACCCGGAATTTCGCTTTTGGTTCCTGACTTTGGTACATAATTAATTTGTTTACTTTGAGATTCGTTGGAAAGATGAAAAGTCACTGATCAAAATAATGTCAAAACCTAATTGACGCAAAATCATGTTTTCTTTATAATCATAATAATTAAGACCCTAAAAACCCGGAAATTACCAATTTGTTCTTTCTTATGATGGCGCGAAATTGTGTGATTTCATACTCGTGCACGCTCGCCGTCTGAGCAATGACAATGCATAACTGATTATTAATCTCTAGGGAGCTCCGCCGCGCCACAAACTGGTCGAAAAAAATAAGAAAAATGATTAAAAAAGAAATATTGTAGAAAATAATTTTTCAGATGGGCAAATAATATAGTATTAATGACTGCTTTGAGAGAAATAGTTGTTTTATTACGCTCAAGGGAAGGTTAGAATTGTGCTATTCCCCGAGGCTTGCCGAGGGGAATAGCCCAATTGTAACCTTCCCGAGAGCGTATGAAAACAACTATTTCTCGAATATTAAAGCAGTCATTAATACTTTTATATGCCGAAAAAAAATAGACTAAAAAATAAAAAATAAAAAATAATTTTTTTTTGTCGAAGGTGAGAGTCGAACTCTCGCGTACAATGAGTGATGAATCTTACACCAACGCCTTACACCACTCGGCCATCGCGCGCTGTTCACGAGCTTGGCAGTTTTGTACAATATATACATTAAAGTGGATTGAAACCGGCTTCGGCGTGATGAATGCTTCGCAAAAGCACCCTTCTTTTACTTTTGCAATGCATATTGGCACGAACTTAGATCAAGATCTATCGGCAGATGTTGTTTTTTTGTTTTTGGAAGTTTTTTTTCGTCTTCATGTCAACAATGCAAGATAAAATTGTCGGTAAGATCGATCGAGATTCAATTGTATTGAAATTACCGACCAATCCTTCGCACACATACGGTATCCTCGATCGCTCAAACCATTTTTTAACATGTAAACCTATGGGGTAACCATGGAGGCTGACCTATTTTTTTAATAACCATGGTTATTAAAAATAGTAAATGTTTTATGCATGGTTACCGGGAATTTTACAGGAACAGTTGAAGTTTATGAATGCAATTCGACCAATCAGATGGCTGGATTTCTTAAGTGAGGTATATAACGTATTTTATCCAGGGTCCTTAGATCGTTGCCATGACTGCTTGCGCGCACGTGCATTTCAGGCGCACGCCACAAAACTAGGTTACTAAAATCTGGTTTTCAGAATGTTAATAAACCAAAGCGGAACATAATTATATGACGTAGTTGACGTATTTGACCAATCAGAACGCTGTATTATCACATCGGCAAAGTTGACTACTTTTTTTAATTATTCATAAACATGAGCGTGATTTTTTTTGGTTCCTGACTTTGGTACAGCGTAAAATAAAATAATTTTGATATCATTGTAAAGATAAATATTTATGCTTTATGCTGATTATAACATCTTCTTGACGCAAGAATGATTTCTATGTGAAAATCAGCCCTACTCTTTAGATAGATTTATCGTCGAAAAACCCCATTTTCAAGGCGAAATATCTGTTTCCAAAATATATCTAACATGATTGTCATATAAGTATATAGAGAGTGCAACTTCTTATCTTTAAAATAAGACCCATTTCATGAGAAATGAACAATTATAAAGGCAAAAGCTGCCGATCGGGAAGACCGTCTGCACTACTCATTACGCATGCAAGACACGTAAATTCTTGCATACGTGCTGAATAAAATAGAGGGTTTTCGCACCGGCTGCGGTCTGACTGTCTTTCTCTCTCTCTCTCTCTCTCTCTTGATCTCTCAGTGTATCCACCTCTCTCACTCTCTCTCTCCTCCTCCCCCTCTCTCTTTCTCTCTCTCTCTCTCTCTCTCACCCCCATTGCATTGGAGTATATTTATCTTCATGATTATATCTTATTTCATATTGTTTATTGAAAATTGAGATAAACACAGCTAAATGATTTCCCCCGTTTTTTTAGGTATTGGTTACTGCCAAATTTTCACGGCTTGCATCCAAGGCGTGTACTACAACGTCATCATCATGTACACCGTCTACTACTTCTTCGCGTCGTTCACAAGTCAACTCCCCTGGATCGGGTGCGCCAAACCCTGGAACAATGTCAAGTGCTACGACCTCTACAGCGACTGCGTCGACAACGAGGGCATCATCGCCACCAACGGCAGTTGTCTCCGGCTCGATTCCCTCAATGAGACCACACTGAATGTTTACAACGTGACGAGCAACCTGGGCGGATACAACCTGTCGGGTTACACGGATCCCCTGGGCGGAAGTAGGGAGCTTGCCAGCGAGCAATATTGGAAGTAAGAGATGGTCGCATTCAATTTCATTCATTTCTAATAATATATGTATGTTCCACTTTATACAGATACACAAATAGGAATAATGAGACAGTCATTTTATGCCATCTGCGCATTTTTTTTGTTTTAATGAAAGACTTTATTTATTTAATCAAACACGAAAAAGCAACTCAATTATTTAAAGAAAAAATTATGACATAGTGATAAAAGCAAACATGGTTACAATAAGTATTATCCTGATGAATCCAACACTTTTTTAAAATACAAAGAATCCGCTCGACTTTCACCTTTCAGCATTTTCTTGAAAGAACGTAAGCACCGAGAATATCGAAATAGATTCCGTCGGCATTCGAGATGCATTTTTGGATCCTCACTGGTCGGGACATTCGAACTGCATTCGAGCCGCATTCGAGCGGCAATTAAAAAATTCCGAAGACATTCGAAGTGCTTTCCAGTTGGATTCTTTAGGTACCTAGAATATCGAAAAAGATTTCGGTGGCAATCGACATGCATTCGATGTGAATTCGGGTCATTCTTTTTTTCTGGTCGGGACGTTTCAACTGTATTCGAACCTCATTTGGGGGGGGGGGGCACTCTAAAGATTCCGACGGCATTCGAAGTGTATTTCAGTTGGAATCTTTAAAGGATACGGGGAGGGGGAGGGAAGCAGGGATTTATAGGAACCATTCACACCATTACACTTTTGAGAATTGACACATACATCGTGTAATATGGATTCACGTGATTATGAATGCATATATTTCTATTGTTTCTTTAAGCAACTGTCCCTAAAATAAAGCATTGTGCAATTATGATGAACTACATCTTTTTTTTCCTTCCAGAAATGCCGTTCTCCAAGAGGCGGACACGATGAACGAGCCAGGTGGTGTTATCTGGCAGCTAGCATTATGTTTGTTGGTTGCTTGGATCATAGTCCTATTATGCCTTGTCAGAGGAATCAAGTCATCGGGAAAGGTGAATATCATCATGATTTATAATTATAATCAGCTGAAAATTGTATTTCTTTTGTAATTTTATTTCATTTTGACTTGTCACAGCTGTTCACCTTATGGGTGTTTTTTACCCGTACACTTTGTACTTGTGAACTAATGAATTGTCATTAGAGGAGGCGCAGTTCAGTTCAGTGGTAGAGCAGTCATTGTTGTCTCATTACCTTAAAGGGGTGTAGCATGGCAAATACTGGTTAACACCATCTACGACTTCTTTTGGACAACTGCACGTTAGCGAATGGACTTGAATTAACGATCAGAGCGCGCTAGCGTTCGGTTTTGCGTATGTTGCACGCACGTGAATAAGAGGAATAAGTCGTGAGTCAGCCGGTTTCATATCTACGAATAAAGACTAATCTATAATTGAAGCCAAAATATTTGATTGCAAGAGGTGATTCACACAATCACCTTTTCCCTAGAGATGCCCCTGTTTTTACCATTGAAAGTCCAATTTGTATATAGGTGTTTCCGTTTTATGTCCCCCCCCCCCCCCCCAGTGGCGGATCAAGGGGGGGGGGGGGGGGGCGGGCCCGCACCCGAGGGGAAAAAACATGTAAACAGGTGCGATTTTTCAAATTTTTCCATTCCCCCCCCCTCCCGGCCCCCCCACAGAGCGAATTATCGGCCGGCTATTTCGCCGCTAAATATTTTCTCACGAATTGGGCCCCATCCCCTGCCGCCGACTGGATCCGCCCCTGCCCCCCCCCCCCCCCCCCCCCCCCCCCCCATTTTCTACACGTTTTTCTCGTATACCATCTGTGCTGTTGAGATCCATAAAATATTCCATTATAAAATGACTTATCTTGAAATGTATTCTTTATCATTATAGGTTGTATACTTCACTGCTACCTTCCCGTACGTTGTTCTTTTCATTCTATTCATTCGTGGCGTAACGTTGCCCGGAGCTATAGACGGGATTCGGTTCTTCGTGGTCCCAGATTTCAACAGACTCAGTGATGCTAAGGTAATCAATCATCCGAGATCGGAGTACAGTCTCTTTGGTTTTCTTGGTACATTATCCTTCTACAAGGAATGTTAAGAAATAAGAACCATACGTAAACTTTGCTTTAATTTCTTTTCATGTAATCCTGAAGGCTTAAAATAATTATAGGGATGCATTTTCGTATAATTATACAGCACAGGACATGTATTAATTGTATATAACTGTCTTGGCAATATGTTGTTGGTCTTCTGCCATCATAATATACCCTAAGTTGTATCATTATCGTGGTTATACTTGTATCTGTAACTGTTTTTATGTTATAGCGATCTGGCCTGGATAGATATCGCGAATGCACTTCAACATTGAACATTTGGGCATATATTGCTGCTATTTTGCGAATTTAGGTTGAAGTATATTGCCATCTAAACCTCTGAAGGCAATATTAAAACAATATTGAATGGATATTTTGCACGCAAAACCCTTGAACCGCAATGTTACCACTACCGGTCTTTACCATATCAGTTATTTCTTGTCTTTCTGTTCTAGGTATGGCAAGATGCAGCTATCCAAATCTTCTATTCTCTCAGTGCAGCAGGAGGTGGCCTGGTCACGCTGTCATCTTATAATAAGTTCCATAACAACTGCTACAGGTGAGTCAAAATCACTTTCACAATGCATTAGGTAATCAGAAGAATATCAAGTATGCCAACAGTTTACTGGTAGAAAAGGTCCTTTGATTACAGAATTTACCAACAAGGTTAGATCTATCAAAGAATTGATGATAAAAATAACAAACAGCCAACATCAAATTCTGTAAAAATTTGCAGGAATTATAAATATTTCACGTATGTCCTATCTGTGAAATTCAAACGTTAGCATATATGCAGTGTCCAAATTATGCAAGGAAACCCGTTTACTTTCTAGACTTCACTGTCACACACTGTTGAGTGAGTGAGCGACTGACTTCTTTTTTCCTTTGGTAAAAACATACATGAAACTGCAAATTGGACATAGTCCTTTAAGGCCTTCAGAATAATGTGGGAAGTGGGGGCAAATTCATTAATTGAATGTGTGCATTACTTATCATACAAAATACTATTTCTTAATCTGAGGGCAGAGGAAATGGCAATTCCTGAAAGCATTCTGTGGAGCCTCTGAAAAAAGCCACAGGGAGCACAAATCCTCAGGTTCTCCGACATAAATTATCAGATTAATAAGGTTACAAAAACGCTTCCAATAGGCAACTTCATTTCCCCATTATTTATAATGAAAATACAATTGCAAATAGGGTCTACTACATAAGGGTCATTATGTTCAAATACCAGGCTATCATCTCTTGCGATTTTCTGGGAAGTTTTTCAATCGAGTAAACATCGAGTAAAGATGACAAATAGTTTCTGTGACATGTTTCAATCTTATATTTCTGTCTTTATAGTGACTCGATATTTGTGGCCATTGCAAACTGCTGCACCAGCGTCTTCGCAGGGTTTGTTATCTTCTCCATCGTAGGGTTCATGGCCCACGAGCTCGACCAACCTGTCGATACGGTCGTCCAACAAGGTATACGATGACGATATCTAAAAAAATCAACCACTTGTTACAACAAAATACGAGAAATGTGATAAATTTAAGCTAAAGTCTATAAACGTGAATCTTGATATAAGATTACAAAGATATAATCCCATATATTCTTTGCAGAAATGTGTTGTCTTTTTGTTCGTCTTGTGCTATCTTTAGAATATTATTTCCCTTGATATCTCGTAAAATTAACACATCTTGCAGCTACTATCTAAACCATGCAGAATGTCATGGTCCTCTTTTATCCGAGCAAAACTTCTAAAGACAATTTATGGCAATATAGTAATAATAATAATAATAATATTTAGCTTTTATATAGCAATATAATGATATGATATGTGCCAGGGTTGCACCATTAGCGAATTCCTTTATTTTAGGGATTATCTATTCCTACATTTTCAAGTGAGTACATGTAAAAAGAAAAAAAAAAAAAAAAAAAAAAAAAAAAAAAAAAGGAGATTTATCGAAAATGAATCAAATAACGTGAGGGTGTGGGTGTGATTTCCCCCAACTATAATACTTCAGGTAAATTTTCTATTCTATGGCACTTTGATTCATTTTGTGTCCTTTCTGCTCCACCGAGCTTCCTGAAAATACATTGACGCACTTGATTTTGATTTAATTGAAACCATCTTTACCTTTCTTCAATTCCCCCCGCACAGGTTTTGGGCTTGCGTTCATCGCCTACCCCGCCGCAGTAGCACGTATGCCCGTTTCTCCTCTATGGTCTATCCTCTTCTTTGGCATGTTGATAACACTGGGTTTAGACAGTCAGGTTTGTTCACATTCTAGGTTAAACTTTTTGTCTCTAACATCCCATATAGGCCTTAGGAGTGTCGTAGTCGAGTGGTTTAAGCAGTTGACTTGAAATTCAATTCAGGTCGTGGGTTCGATCCCAGATACGGCACTAATGTCCTTTGGCAAGGCATTAATCTACCTTTGCCACTCAATACCCAAGAGAGAAATGGGAACCCGGTAGGATGACGAAAGTATTTGTGTTAGTAATTACCTATGCCCTCACGGTGACCATATTATGGTAGGAATATTCCCAAGGGAGTGGAGATGGTGCACATTGTGCGGGAATGAATCACATGACTTGGGTAATAATAATATATGTAAAGCGCTGAGAGACGGTATTCCGTATTAAGCGCTATAAATCCAGATTATTATAATTATTAGCTTGATATTATTGTCTGGACGACATAGTAAAAGATACATTGACGACACTTGGTAGCTTTGTTTAGTTTCCTTCAACTCTCACCAACCCATTTTTCTTATTTTCCCGTTTTTACATAATTCAACTTGATACACATGTTGAACTACTCCTGAAATGAGGCAAAATTAATTAGGGTATCCTAAAGGTCTAATTCCAATAATATCACTGACGTAAGTAGAAGTGTTGTGGTCTAGCAGATAAGTTTCTGGACTTTGAACAAGGTATGGGGTTCAAATCCCTGACGCAGCACTAAACATCATTTGGCAAGACTCTTAACTACATTTTCCACACTCGACTCAGATGTAGAAAGTAGGAAATGGTACTATTCCTGTATAATGCACAGAGCACTACGGTCGTATGAGATAAAGTCGGGGTAATAATATCCATATGCTTTTATAGAAGGGCATAAATACGTCAACATTTTATGAGACTGCGATGTGCGCTATACAAAAACGGCATATTATTGAAATGATAATCATTCTCTTTTGTTTTACAGTTCGCCATTATGGAGAATGTAGTAACAGCCATTGTGGATGAGATCCCTAAACTCCGTAAGAAGAAGACATACGTGTTAATGGCTGCCTGTGGTATCATGTACATCATGGGATTCAGCTGCATAACCCATGTAAGAAGAAAGAAAATGATTATGTGATTTGTGCTATTTCAAAGTTTTATGCTACATTTAACACACACATGTATTTCCTTCTTTTTCTTCGATTTTCAATTTGTGTTCAGTTTGTACTTTGTCCACAGCTTCTGCTTGTGTTCTTGTTAGCTTGTCGCCTTATTCCTTAATTTAACTTATATGATGCGGAAAGTCAAACGGTTTTAACTTAATATACCACCCTCTCAGCATTTGAGGACGAAGTCATATTGCTAGTGTGTCTCAACCAATTTCGATTGAGATTTCCACGACTGTTTCATAAAATGGAATAATACTATGATTTGGTAGAGTTTGACTTGACATATGGCGATATCAAACGTTGAGATGTTTTAAAAAGCGTCATTGTAATATATAAAACAATACATGTGATAGGTAAAAAGAAAATGTAGGCCAGATCAGAGATGGATCCAGGTCCATGGGAACGAACCGTACCCTCTCTCTCTCTCTCTCTCTCTCTCTCTCTCTTCGAAAATGTGAATGTCGCTATCCTCCCGACCCTTCCCAGATATCGTATAATTTTGCATTTTCATGTTATCCAGGCCCCGTCCCTTCTGAGAATCTGATTTTGCGTCTGATTATCATCATATTTATATTAAATCGTCCAGTTTCTCTCTCGTGGTCGAGTGGTTTAAGGCGCTTGACTAGAGATGCGAAGGTCGAGGGTTCGAATCCCGACACGGCACTAATCCTTTGGCAAGATATTAACCTGCACTTGCTACTCTCCACCAAGGTGTCAAATGGGTACCCGGTAGGATGCGGCCATCATTGGTGGTCAAACAGCTTGTGAGCGTCAAGTAACGCCCGGCTGGAATGCTCCCCAGGGAGTGGAGATTGTGCACACAGTGTGTGCGGGCAAGCACTGAATCCAATGACCGGGGTAATAGTATATTTGTAAAGCGCTTAGTGACATTTGTATTAAGCGCTATATAAAAATTAAATATGATTATTATCTTCATTTCATGTCCGCAGACGGGCAGTTATTGGGTGTCGCATCTCGACAGTTATGGCGCCTTCTTCAACTATATCATCTACGCCCTCCTCGAGTGTATAGCCCTGGGCTGGATTTACGGGGTCAAGCGCCTCCAGAACGATATCCGAACCATGGTGGGAGACAAGTGGGTCGGCCACTGGTCCTTCATGTGGTGGCCTCTGAACTGGGCTGCCTTCACACCTGCTCTCATGTTGGTAAGTGTAGCGTAGTCCATCCATTACCATGGGGCGGAGGAGAGGGGAAGAGAGGGGGGGGGGCAGGTCGAAATTCCAGTGGATACCAGTTGAAACCAGTAAGGATTTCCAACTGGTATCTACTGGTTTGAACTGGTCTCAACTGGTCTAAACTGGTATCAGTTGATACCAGTTGATACAATTTGGAAATCAGTAGAAATACCAGTTGACATCTGAGACCAGTTGATATTACCAGTTGATTTACCAGTTGCTTTACCAGTTGAAAACCAGTTGATTTACCAGTTGAAAACCAGTAGAATCTTGAATCTTGAATCTTGAATTTGTTGCACCCAAAAAGCTACGTTGACAGCTGTCCAGGGTGGAGTAATAGTGGTAGTGTGTGAGTGCGTGATGCGTGCAAGTAAAAGAAGCCAGACATTGTGCAGAAGAAGACATGTAAACTGGAGAGTACGAAGAAGTAGGGTGCATCTGGTGAGAACATTAATGTCGGCTTCATGGCTTCCCTCCCTACAGGGCCCTGGTGGGCATGCCCATCATGGCTATGATGGACGGGACTGCGGAGGTCTGAAAACCAGCAATTGAGCTAGATGTTACAGCTACTGCTGGGAGTCTGTTCCATATGGGAATAACTCGGGGGAAAAAACTGTACTTATAGCAGTCCACTCTGCAGGGAAGCTGGTGAAAGATAAATGGGTGTGTGGTGTGTCCACGTAGCTCTCTCTGGTGCAAGACTGGGTGAATACCAGGTGTAAGTGGGATGTTCACCATGTTCTTGTGGATTTTGAAGAACATTCCACACTGGGCAAAGATTCTTCGTTGTTCAAGAGTATTCCAGGCCAGTAGAGAAATCATGTCTGAGACGCTCGATGTCCTTCTAAAGTCTTGGGTGACAAAACGTGCAGCTTGCCTCTGGATTCCTTCCAGCAAGTTGGTATTACGCCGTTTATGTGGATTCCATGCACATGAGGAGTATTCAAGTTGAGGCCGAACTAGGGTCTTGTAGGCGGTTTACCAGTTGATTTACCAGTTGAAAACCAGTACAATTATACCAGTTGATTTACCAGTTGAAAACCAATAGATGATTACCAGTTGATTTACCAGTTGAAAACCAGTTGATTTACCAGTTGAAAAACCAGTTCAATATATCTTATGTATATTCATGATTAATTTGTATGTTTTCACAGAAAATATAATAATCATGATCTGTCAAGCAAATGTGACAATGCACATACATTTTGTGATTGATACTTTCTTAGTTAATTATTGACAAATATATTACACATGTCTGATCATGTTTTTTATCTAATTTAAGACGTGAAATTAGATACTAACCAGGAAATAAAGTTTATAATTATGTATGCACGAACTATAGATGTCATCTCACATAATACACATCTGTAATCTACTTCAAATGATCTTTGTGATTGGGTAATTGCAAGAGTTAGTATATGTGGTTAAATTGGTGGCCAGATGCTAATAATGATTATTGATTATCAGTTGATTGATTACTGGATAATCAACTGGTAAATCAACTAGTAAATCAACTTGGAATTCAAATGGTAAATCAACTGGTATTCAACTGGTAATTCAACTGGTAAATCAACAGGTAAATCAACTGGTAATTCAACTGGTAATTCAACTGGTAAAACAACTGGTCCCAGTTAGCGTTGTTTCAATTTCCATATTAAAAACCAACTGAATCTACTGGTTTTAACTGGTACCAGTTGTTTACTGGTTTCAACTGGAATTCTGACCTGGGGGGGGGGGGGTCATAAGTTGATGGACAGGTGGGATAAGCATGAATAAGGTCATCAAACATTAATGAGGGTATGGTATGGCAGAGGCCTTGCAAAAAAAAATTACCTCAACAATCAAAAAGCGAATTACATATATTGTTTTGTTGCAAGTTAGGATAAATATTATGGCTTGCCCTACCCTACAACATGTAATATAATATGCAATTATTCACACGGCGTCTGCATTAAATTTGGTTACATTATGGCTTATTGGACATGATGTGGGGTCTTAGGAAGGAACTTCAATAAAAGTTGTTTTTTAGCGAATTTTAATCCTAACAATCGGGATATTTGAATTGGTATAAATCAATAAACTAATATGCTCTTTGATCATCTCTTTCTCCAGTTCGTTCTCATATTCAACTTCTTAAACTGGCAAGAGCCAAGTTACAATGGACCTTTCCCTTCCTGGGCCCGGGCCGTTGGCTGGTTGATCACTACATGCTCGTTGATCTGGATCCCTATTGTCATCATCTACGAGTTCCTCATGGAAGAGGGAACATTCATGGAGGTAAGGAGGTTATTATGGGTAGTGGCGTACGAAGGATTTGTTAAAGGGGGTATTTTTAAAATTTGAAAATCGCGCCGTTATTTTTTTTTTTTTAACAATTAAAAATATTTGAGGGGTGGTTAACCCCCAAAACACCCCCTCTGCGTACGCGCCTGATTATGGGTACCCGGTAGGATGCGAAAGTTAATGTGGTTGGATTAGCAAGTGGCCCTTGTAAAATGATGACTGGCTGGATTGCTTCCCAGGGATTTGAAAATGTGCAAACATTATGTTGCGGGTAAGCCTGAATCCGATGACCGGGGTAATAATTATGTTCGCGCCTAGAAACAAAGTATTAGTCGCATTATAGATGTGAGCTATTATTATTATTATGATCACACCGTACGGGGGCGGATCCAGGAGTGTCAGAAGGGGTTGGGGGTGGATTTTACCTCATATTTTAATAAGTTTCTTATGGAATAGTTGACCTATATGGAGGTATAAGAATGATAATCATCATGATTATTGATATACTTTCCTTGGGCGTATCCAGGGTTGTTAGACGGCAGGGGCGAATCTCTTCTCCAGCGTTATTCTTAATGATTTTTTTAATTGTTTTATTAAGAACATAGCTTGGGTAATATCGACGGCCCTGCATAGGCTATTTCGATAAGGGAGAGAAGCAATAAGTACAAAAGTATCTCTACAGTTATTTTCCACTAAGAGGGGTTGGGGTGCCTAGAACTATATAGAATCAAGAATCATAATTTTTCAGGAAAATTATTTCGGGAATCAAGCCTGCCTTCCCAAGGTCGGGAAAAGGGCCGTGGTTCGGAATTTAAAGATATTTGTGCTTTTTCATGTGTTTTTTCTTCTCTATATGGGCAAAAATTTAGCGCTCCCTTGATTTTGCTATGACTTAATGTTTGAAATCTCACAAACATAACGCTCTTGAAAACATTTTGTTTCAGAAAGCTGTTCATAACTTTCCAAACGATAATATATTCAATGTAGAATCCCCATAATGATTAACAATATATTATTTCTGTATAACCTGTAGCGTTGGCATCTGATCTCAAGCCCCATCGATACATGGGGTCCCGCCCTCCCTCGGTTCCGCCTGGAGTCCTGGAAGGTTCATCATCGAAACGGAACCACGATGGGCGGGCAACTGGACATCGATGGCAGCGGTCGCCCGTGGTCACCCGGCGAAGTCAAGTTCGACGAGGAGGAGGATGATGAAGAGATGGGCAACGTTGAAAACGGGGAGCCGCCTTCTTATGAAATGACGAATCCACTTTAACCGATGATTGACTGCATATAAGCAGCGATCATTTTGATTTAACTTGGACGTTCATGGATGACAAAAGTTCTTATGAATAATACTTAGGTATAATTTGTGTCATATAGGATTAATGCCGAGTGTTTTGGAGTCCTTTTATAGAAGAGTCGCAACAACCAATGATTTGACGCTATTTTGTTTACACTATCACGTAACATTTGTATTCAGGTTTGATGAGCACCTGTAAATTCTAAAAGAGAAAGAATTTAAACGTCATATTGCGTTGAAAAAAAACATCATGTCGCAACTTCTACCTTAAATGGACTCTAATATGCTCTAGAGTCCCGTTATATGAAGGGATCCGTCGTCTGTCTGGATATTTGGCATCACGCCCTTTCGCCGTCCATAGATCGAGCCACGTGAAAAGCTAGAAGTAGGCCTTTTTATTACTGGTCGATGGCATCGCTTCGAGGACTTTTTCCTGAAAATGTACAGCGATTTGCCCATCATCTACTTTTACATTATTGTAAATATAATCAAAGACTGATAGATTAGATCATTCGATAATCAACATATTTCTAACGCTGTACAGCTAACACAAGTGGAGCCTTTACAGACATAAAGCAAAGCCTACATAATATAAAATACCTGGTATTGTTAAGACGATGTACAGAAATTTTGCATCATTTTAACGAAAAGAGAAATTGTATTCGATGAATGTCTCAAGTCGGATTTAACATAGACTGGAGTTCAAGTTAAATTCGAGTTCAGAATATGAATCAAGTTGTTTGGGTTTGTACATCTTTTCCAGCCAAAGGGTAACATGTGTTTTCACGTTCGTAAGGTTTATTCGTGTAAATGTCAAACGTATACAAACAAAAAAACCCACTATAATTTCTCGTTTAAACAATGGTTATAAAAAAGTCACATACTGTTACAGTGCTGATGGCATTCACTTATTTAAATATTAAAATTGCAGTTTAAGTAAAGAGGCGGGCCTTAGCAAAATGTCTTTCATTGTATTCAAAAGATACTTATTTTTCGTATTTTTTAGTATGGTCAATTGTGATGCCTTTATATTGAATTTTAGCTGAAGCGTTCTTATATCTTTACAGAAGAATAACCGTGTTTTTTTATAATTAGTCTCATTTTTAGTTTATTTTCTCCTTCTTTTGACCCTTTTTTATCATGATGCTTTTTTATACCGCATAATATACACGAAAGACTATATAATACTCGGCTGATGTAATCATTTATTGAAACCATTCATGCCTTAGTTGTGTGATTGGTTGAAATGATTTAAAAAAATGTATGATTACTGATTAAATATCAAACATTTTAAAGTTATACAGAGTAACCCATGCACGAACTTCTTCCAAAATAACCATGTGATCGCAAGAAGTTTCTTTTACTGTGTTTCAAAATATCATAAATATGGCCAATAGTTTGATTCGTGTGGAAATATCAGGTGTTTTATAATAAACGTGTGGTATCTGCCTTTTTAAAATCCCTCACGCCCTATTATTAAAGTAATAGATTTTTAAATTTTATATTCACATCGTGTACATTTTCTCAGGACGGAATGTATGATATGAAATATATATATATATATATATATATATATATATATATATATATATATATATATTATATTTTGCACGTACTATACACAGTTTTTGGACTGTGCATGTATAGCATAATGAATAAACCTAGTCGACGTGTTTCAGGGAATTGTAAACAAATCAAGGTTGAATATGCGATAAAGGAACACATTAATTGAACTCATTTACCGACTATTAATATGAATATCATTCTTCAGTATCTACCAAAATATAATTATTGTGATGTTAATAGTTGCCCACCCCCCGAAAATGATGAAACTCGCCTTAAATTATTACGCAAGTAAATGTTCAAAGGCATATTCAATGAAATAATGCTCAGCGAGTTTTCGGAAACTTAATTTGTTTTCAGGGGGTGGGGCATAGAGTTGGGAATTCATTCACGCCTTAATCAGGTTAATACAAAATGACATAAAATGGTAAATCATTCTTGTTTCTATAGTTTTATCATTGTATCTCCAGCTGAGCTAGACACCGGTTGTTTTAAAGCCCCACTGCACTATTTATAGCTACTTGCACACTCTATATAGCCAACAATGCCTAATCGGTACCATTGGTCCCCTGGATCCTCTTTTTCTTATGTTAATTGAGAGCTTATTTGATGAGAAAAACACCTGTCAGTGACCATGCAAAGAAGTATAATCCCTCCTCGCCAAACTTGTACGGTGGGGCTTTAAGGTTAGACTTGAAAATAATGTTTAATGCAAAACTAAAAAATTAAAGATCGTTTGTAACAGAATAAATGTAAATACTTTTTAGTATACTAATAAAATATATATCGGACATTGGGGATTTTTAACTATTTATATCCATTTATACTTGTAAGCGATATTCAGTGTTTTTAAGAGTAGATATTAATGTTTATATAATTGTTCCAATTTGGAAGGGATAGTTTGATATGTACATTGATATGATAATTATGTATATAATTACACATCACATTCCATCATTGCAATATTTTCATGTCATATTAAGCCGAGAATATTTTTCTTATAGATGCGGAAGGTGATGAAATGTGTCGTGCGCAGATTTTCAAGAAAGAAAATTGAATTTCCTTTCGTGAATTCAGAATTCCACATTTCAATTAAGATCACCTTCAAATGTATGGAATTTTGATCTCAAATAGGCTTTGTTTCATGATAAATATTCAATGTTTGAATCTCATTGGGGAAAAAAAATTCATGGTCTTGTAACATTCATTTCGTCCAAGATTGAAATCCATGAATTTTGAAAATGATGGGAAATAGTGGTTTTGAATTTATTTCATATACCGATATTGTCCATTTCTATATACCATCATAGCTGATTTGTGAATTTGATTAGAGAAGCATTAAAGAGTAAAATGTACAATCAATGAATCATGAACATCATGCCCCAATTTCATTTACCAAAGTGTTTTTTAAAAACACTTTAACAAATATGTACCATTGAATTTGACCTGTTTTTTTTTTTTTGTAAATTTGAATTTTATCTATTTCAAGTACTTTTCAATGCCTTCCCAGGAAATGGTGCAACAGGCTTTCATACGAATTGAGTTCTACCTAGATTTTTGTATACTTATCGCTGTTGCCAAATACATGTATGTACTATAACTCCAATCAGAATTTAGATGTAAATAATTCGGGGGGGGGGGTATTAAATGTTAAATACATCATGACATGATTGACGGTCTAATAATGTCATTAAAGAGAAGGATGAATTTAAAGTTATTGTGTGCATTGTTTCATTCATTGTTATGTTAATCCGAAGTGTAGCTACAGGGGGCACCCCCAAATCGCAAAACGAAGAGAGAGAGAGAGAGAGAGAGAGAGAGAGAGATAGAGAGGGAGAGAGAGAGAGATAGAGAGGGAGAGAGAGAGAGAAAGAGAGAGAGAGAGAGAGAGAGGGTGAGAGAGTGGTGGGGTAGAGAATTGCATAAAAAGAAAGAAAATATGAAAAAGGAGAATGGACAGGGCAAGGGAAAACATCTCGGGGGCGTTTCACAAAACTTGTCATCAGGGACAAATGACAATTAGTGTTATACGCTACTAAAATCCTTGCTTCTGATTGGTTATCAGCAGATTTGTCACTGATTTTTGTCATATGTCATTGAAAAAGGGCTGTGTGAAACGCCCCCTAATGTCCCTCCCCCAAAACTCCAGGGGCCTGTATGACTAGACATACGCTACGCAACGTCTGATCATGATAGTCGTATTTAAAGGTAATACAAACTTTTGGGAAATTTTGAAAATTGGGTGGATAGTGATTCTTTACAATTTTGATATATTTGGATGCCCCTGTGGATTTATTAGAAGCACTAGAAAATTTAGCCCCTAAAACACTTCTGCTTTCGAGAAAAATTGAATATAAAAATGTACCGGTGCTCCCGTTAAATTTTGATCAATTTGAAATGGCGCCTACGGCCGTACAATGGCAGCTGCGGCCATGAAAATCTCAGAATATGTAGATGTGATATATAATTTTCAAACGGACATTGCTGATCGGTCGATTTTAATCAAGAAACATTGTTTTATAGCTTAATTAATATCTTGACCTTTAGAGGTAGCTATACATCATAAAGAGTTTATTATTTACAATTTCATAACTTAAGACTCGATTTCAACCGCGGCAACGATCACTGAATGTTGTAGGATTAATGCTTCCAATATTTTCATTTGAACCAAATTCATGACCCAAGATATTCATATATTAATTAAAAAAGCGAAAAGGGGATTGCGAATTCATTGTTGGATAGCAGAATTAAAGCCGCAGAAAATGGTTTAACATCACCTAGTGGGAGAGAGATATATATATATATATATATATATATATATATATATAGGAGAGAGAAAGAGAGACAGAGACAGAGAGAGACAGACAGACAGACAGACACAGACACACAGACACACACAGAGAGCTTGGGGGGGGGGGGCGTGATGGAGGAGAGAGACTGATGCATCTAGAGTAGTACGTAACATAGCCCGTATTGTAACCATCCCACAAAGTTGGCCTTGATGTAACCAGACAAATCAAGAGAGAGAAAATATTGAAGCATTCAGTTCTACAAAATCACTGTCGGAAAATTGGGAGAGGGGCTATCAGGCATAATATATGCACATAACTATAACTGTGTATAACAACTCCAATTAACAAATATTCATCTCATACCCGCACCTTTTATTAAGATAAAAGTGTGCAGGTACCGTATTATCTTACTCCATTCAACAAATCAACGTATTTCCTTTTCCTACTTTGCGAGATACCCTTGTTAAGCTGTTTAATACATTTCATCAGATCCCCTCGTTCAAGCTAATCCTGAATTCGGGTAGAAAACCATAACGAGCTTAAAGTAATGTTATTGTTTATCATGCAGCAGATTGATTGTTTGTATCAACAAAATTACAAACAAACTGATGAACTCGCGTGATCAAAATCAAAAGCACTGACATTGTTGACCTATCGCGCCCTTCCTGTTTGTTTTAGTCTAGACATGTAAGAGGTGATGATGTTTGTTTGTTTGATTGTTTTTCTGAATTTTTCAAATATAAAAACAATAACGCAAAAGGGTGACCTATCCTTTGCTCTTCCTTTTTTTCGGGGGGGGGGGGGACTTCAATTAAATATGTCTCCCAAGTTTGAAGGCAGATATAACATTTCGGTGAATAAAATCGCACACCCTTTCCAAAATCTTCGTACGAATATGAATTTAAGCACAACCAGAATTTGCATATTCATTGTGTATGAAACAGCAGCCGAGGTTAGGTCAATTTTCAGTAGAAACCAGAAATCGAAACATTCGCAATTATTGTCCTTTTCAGCCCACACAAAAGGGTCTGACGCGAATAATAAAGATACCCTCTTCTTTTCAATCTTACAGCGAGTTATGCAAAGATAATACAACTCTACTTAATTCTAGTAATCCTTTAAAACATAATACAAGTACCTGCATGTCGGCCTATCGTGTTTCCCAGTGTATATCTCAGTGCTTATCATGCTCTACTTTTATATTTCATTAAACCCACCAACAAAAACATAACAAAAATTGATCTACAAATCTTATCAATATGAGCAGGCGATGGCCTTATCTCCCAACCTTTCTGTCAAACCAAGAAATTTTAAGAGATGGAGTCCTATCTAGCTCATTCCCTTTATACCATCTTCGATGCCCTCGACGAGGACCTAAAACCGCCAGTTCCCTGGTTGTTTTCTAACAAGCATAATATAATAATAATAATTTATGTATTTATTATCATTTTAAGATTTACTATGGAATATCATATTAAATTTACCTTCATGAAATCTGGTATCACCTAACCGACCTATATACAGTGGCTTACTTATCTATTACCTCATTCATTATCTATGTTTATCATATGTGTATGTTTATCACTCTCCTATAATATTTCATTTATATATTTGTATTGTATTACTTTGTAACCAGTGGAAACCAAATTTCCTGAAAAGGATAATAAATTATTATACTTATACTTATACATGCTTTCTTAGCAGTCCTGTAAATAATAATCAACTATTAACCATTAACCATCAACACATATTCAAGTCATGCCCACTGCACTATTGGTAGCTACTTGCGCCCTCTATATAACAAACAATGCCTAATCGGTGACCATTGGTCCCCCATGATCCTCTTTTTCTTATGTTAACTGAGAGCTGAATTGATGAGATAACCACATGTCCAGTGTCCTTGCAGAGCGGGTCTAATCCCTCCTGTAAACTACGGCAGATAAGCTTTAAGAGAGGACAATGTGTAAATTTTCCAGGTACCGTATCATCTCACTCCTTTCTACAAATGATACAAATATACTTTCCATATATCCTCTTTCCACTTTTCGAGGTACCCTTGTTAAACCGTTAGATTTCCGGCCTCCCAGTTTGGACCACGTGGACTAAGAAGCGCGGGATTACGTCAGCAACTCTCTCCACGCAGTGGACTCACCCACGGCAGTTATACCATGAGTGGGAACGGACCCTCTACCCAATGTCCACGGTAGCGGATAAAAGCGAGTACTATCAGCTATGTTCGGACATTCTCCCTCGAATAACACTCTCCCTCGACCAACAATATGATCATGGGTGTCGATCCCGGGGGGGGGGGGGGGGTGGGGGATGGCCTGTACAATCATCCCCCCCCCCAATAATTCACCATAAAAAAAAATTAAAAAATGAAGAGACAAATTAATGATGAGAGTCCGATGAGAGTAGTTAATTACTCGCAAGATGACCATCAATAATAATAATAATAATAATAATAATGTTCAATTATTATATAGCGCATATTACAAAATATACACATACACATACACATACACATTTTGCTATCTCATTTTCATAATACATACATATATATGAAGTAAATAAGACAACCGTATATGAGACAAGAATAAATTGAATTCTCGCTCATACGGCTTCATCAGGAATTGATGAATTTATTCAATTTGTTCAATCAACAGCATCATAGAAATGCAGTGCGCCAAATGCAAAGACGCAGCATCAAAAGCAACGAGCTAAATGTTAAGCGCGAAGCGCAAAAGTAGCAATCTGCAATGCACATCAGACAATCCTGGACAGTGTAAACATAAATAAACTCTGTGACGATTTCGTGATGAGATCGGAGACAAGGAGAAAGATTTCGGACATGTGGCCCTGAAGGGACATCGCGAATAGACTAAATCGTGAAAAATATTCGATAAAATTCACGATATCGTCAATTTTATCGCATATTTTTCACGAAGAAATTCACGAAACTGACGATATCATGAACTTTATCGTGAACTTTTCACGATGAAATTGACGATATCGTGAATTTTATCGCATATTTTTCACGATTTAGTCTATTCGCGATGTCCCTTCAGGGCCACCATAAGTATGACTTATAAAATAGGTCACTAGTTGTTATGTTGTTTCCGTTCACCCTTTTAAAAATTCACGTCATTGTATCTCTATTTTATTTTTTTCACTCATTTTATTTCCTGATATTTCCTAAAACATTTTTCATTTTTGGAGAAAGATTATTATGTCACAACTTATTTTCAGTGGGGAAACTGAATTCAGACAAGGATTAATATAGAGAACAGTACAACGAATCGTCTTCTTTCTCTAATAATTTAGCGAACAGGGCAAAACTGTTAGGGGGCAACTGAATTCAGACGTGGATTAAAAGTAATAATCAAATGAAACGTCAAAGTACACGATACAACTAATCGTCTTCTTTTACTAATAATTTAATGAAACGTGAAAGCTTCCGCGCTACGCGCGGAATGGGCGAAAATGAATACAGACAAGGATTAAGAGTAATAATTCATTGAAACATTAAAGCTTCCGCGCTTTGCGCGGAAGGGGGGAAACTGAATTCATGAAGGACACGATACAACAAATCGTCTTCTTTCTCTAATAATGTAATAAAATGTGAAAGCTTCCGCGCTTCGCGCAGGAATGGGCATAAATAAATTCAGACAAGGATTAAGAGTCGAGAATGGTACATAGAATCGTCTTCTTTCTTTAATAATCTAATGAAACGTCAGAGCTTCCACGCTACGCGCGGAGGAGGGGGAACTTGATTCAAACAAGGATTAAGAGTCGAGAATGGTACATCGAATCGTCTTCTTTCTTTAATAATCTAATGAAACGTCAGAGCTACCGCGCTACGCGCGGGGGAAGGGGAATTTGATTCAAACAAGGATTAAGAGTCGAGAACGGTCCAACGAA